TGACGACCATCATCATCATCGGGACACAATCATCATCAACAACGGCATCATCGCCATCATCGGGCCACCATCATCATCATCATCATCATAATCATCATCATCACCTTCATCACCATCATCATCTCATCATCTCATGATCATTACCATCATCAGGATCATCAACATCATCATCATCGTCGGAGCACCATCATCATCAGCAACATCAGCATCACCAACATCATTATCATCGGGACACCATCATCATCATCATCACCACCTCATCATGATCCTCACTATCAACAGCATCATCATCATCGGACACCGTCATCGTCATCATCATCATCATCATCGGAACACCATCATCATCATCACCGTCATCATCATCAACAGCATCAACATCGACCTCATCATCACCATCGGGACGCCAACATCATCATCCTCATCACCATCATCATCTCATCATCTCATCATCATTAACAGCGTCAGGATCATCAACACCATCATCATCATCCGACAACCATCATCATCAGCAACATCAGCATCATCAACATCATCAACATCGGGACACATCACCACCATGGCCATCATCATCATCACCATCATCGGGACACCATCATCGTCACCATCATCAAGATCAACATCATCAGGATCGGGACACCGTCATCATCATCAGCATCATCATCGGAACACCATCACCATCATCATCTCATCATAGTCGAGAAACCATCATCATCATCAGCAACATCATCATCATCAACTTCATCATCATCGGGACACCATCATCATCGTCCCCACCATCATCATCACCATCATCATTGGGACACCATCATCATCATCAGCATCATTGTCATCGGGCCACCACCATCAAAACCATCATCATCATCATCACCCAATCATCATCCTCATCATCAAGATCATCATCATCATCGGAACACGATCATCGTCATCACCGTCATCATCAACATCATCAACATCATCACCATCGGGACACCATCATCATCATCATCACCACCATCATCAACAGCATCATCATCAACCTCATCATCATCATCATCGGACACCATCATCATCATCATCATCATCATCTTCATCACCATCATCATCTCATCATCATCAACATCATCAGGATCATTAACATCATCGTCATCATCATCGGGGCACCACCATCATCATCAACAGCAACATCAACATCATCAACATCATGATCGAGACACCATGATCATCACCACCATGGCCAACATCATCATCATCATCATCATCATCATCATCATCAATATCGTCATCATCATCATCATCATCATCAGCATCATCATCATCATCATCATCATCATCATCGTCATCATCATCATCATCATCATCGGGACACCGACGGGACACCGGCGGGACACCGGCGGACACCGCGCGCCACCGGTTGCCGGAAGGGAGACTTTTGGTCCGGCCGCGCCTCAGCCAGAGGCGGGACATTTCTCGCCCGCCCACGCAGCTTCGCCTCGCACGCAAGCACGGCACGCAAGAACACGAAACCGAAACCGATTTCCCGGTAGGGGGGCTCTCCGTTCCACTTCGATCTCACCCCCTCACCTCCGATCATCAGCATCATCATCACCATCATCATCATCATCATCACCATCATCAGCATCATCAGCAGCAGCATCATCATAATCATCATCATCAGCATCAGCATCAGCATCAGCATCATCATCGTCAGCATCTGCAACATCAGCATCACCATCATCACCACCACCGCCACCATCATCAGCATCATCATCACCACCACCACCATCATCAGAATCATCATCAACATCATCATCATCAGCATCGTCACCATCACCATCATCAGCATCATCAACATCATCAGCATCATAATCATCATCATCAGCAACGTAATCATTATCAACATCGTCATCAGCATCATCATAAGCATCATCGCCAACATCAGCATCATTATCATCATCATCATCATCATCATCATCATCATCATCATCATCATCATCGGCATTATCAGCAGCGCAATCATTATCAACATCATCATCAGCATCATCATCATCGGCGGCAGCGGCGGCGGCGTCAGCCTCATAATCAGTATCAGCATCACAATCAGCGTCCTCATCATCACCATCAACAGAATAATCATTAAGACCACTATCAGTATCAGTATCAGCAGCGTGAGCATCAGCATCAGCATCAGCATCAGCATGCATCATCATCATAACCACCATCACCATCACCATCATCATTACCATCATCGCCATCATCATTATCACAATCACCATCATAATCATCAGAATATCACCACCACCATCATCACCACCATCATCGTCATCGTCATCGTCATCGTCATCGTCCTCCTCCTCCTCCTCCCTCCTTCTCCTAATTGTCCTACTCCTCGTCCTCTATCTCTTTTTCCTCCTCCATCATTATCCTCCATCATCATCCCTCCTCCTCCCCCTCCTCCTCCTCCGCCTTCCTCTTCCTCCCTCCCCTTCGTCCTCCTTCCCCTCCTGCTCATCTTCCTCCTCCTCCTCGGGCTCCACGGTTTCTGGCGCCTGCCGGGCTGATCCTCTGCAGCACCCTCTGCACGGTCTTCGTCGGCACGCAACGTGGCGGCTCACCTCGAAGACGTGAGCTCAGCCATCCGTTGTTTCCTGGTCTGGTGCCCTCTGGCGGAGTGGGCGTGCGCGGCCTCCGTGGAAAGGGTGCAACGTCGACCTCCCGCGCGCCAGGTGCGGGGCGTGGGGGCGCCGCAGGCTGACCTGCTGCTGTAAAAAAGCGACGCTCGAGTGCAGGGCCCGTCAGCTTCTTCGAAACTGCGCGCTGCTTCGCTTGCTGCACAGACGACGCCAGGACGTTGCACGACTCGCGGACAAGATCCCTGGCCTGAGAGATCGGCGCTACTACGCCACGCACCCTGAGGACGACAGTACCCCGCGACCCACCCGCGACCCACCCGCAACCCACCCGCGACCCATCCCGCGCCCAGGCTTCCACGTGCGGTGCGAAAGACGGCAAAGGCTCATGGTTTGGGCGCCGCCGAACGTGTGTCCGTGCACCCCGCGACTGACAAGTCCGACCGCTCGGCGGAGGCCGAGCGCAAGATCGAGGCGTCGATCACTGGGGCGGCGCGGATCGCCCGGGATGGACTCGGGCCCGCAGAAGCTGCTCGGACTGCTCGGCCCGTCAACGGGGCCAGCCCGAGACGGCCGCAGAAGGACATACTAGGACTATGCGCCCCCCCTGGATGCGCACGCCCGGACCGAACGGCCAGCACAGAGACACGTCCTGGCACTTCGCGACCAAAGCAGCATGGCCAGGAATCGCCTGCGACTGAGCAAATGCTATGATGATTCTGAGCGCGCGCGCCGCCTCTGGGGGGCGACACACACAGTGTGTGAGTGTGTTGGGTGATGCCGACCGAAGCTGATGGAGCGGCGTGCGCTCGTCGTGCAGGCTGGCCTCGTCTTGGGAACTGTGGAAGAGCTCGGGCCCGCCGCGGATGACGCCCTCGTTGACGAAAAGGTCACGGTGGACGAGGGCCCGACGGAGATACACGAATCTGCTCTGCCCGCCGCGGTGGCCGCCTCGAACGTGGTGAAGCAGCTCGTGCCGGTCGTCACGAATGACATCAACTCGGGCGTGAACACCGCCTTTGCTACCAGCCTGGGCAAGAAAGCGTGGCACAATAATCGACTGACGATGCTGAGATCGGCTGGCCAATCGGCGAGGCGCAGCTCGACAGTCTCCTGGAGATCGAGCAGCAGCTCTAAGCTGCGAACATCGAGGGCGATGGGTGGGGTCAAATACGCGCGAAGCTCCGCAATGAGAGGAATGCGACCAGCAGCCAATGTCATTCGTGGTGATGAGTTTCGTAACGCATGGCCCGTTCGTCCTTCTCCACAGCTTCGATGTTGGGCGAATACCGCCTAACATCACTGCCGTGAAGATGTGCATCGCGTGCTTTCGGTTGGTACGCAAGTACTGTAGGGCTGCCCTCGAATCACCACTGGCAGTTTTCGGCAGCCGCACCGCACCACCGCGTGTTGCGACCCCCGCTTATCCCTGCCGGATATGGGCGGCCTCAAGCCCAACGCCCTCGCTCCCTCTACCTGCGAGGCTACGGAACCAAATGTTTCAAAATTGGTCTGCCCACTTCTTTTACGACAGAGAGCTGCCGCGCTTCAACTACCGGGAACATTGTCGGCGACCCCGGCGCCAGCTCCTCGTGCAAATCCTGCGCGGTTGGAAGCCACGACGTGCTGCATTGCGCTCCGCTGCGCTGCGATGCGCTGCGATACTGTACCACTGCATGCGCCGCGGCGCGCCGCGCTTGGCAACGCAATGATTGAAGGTGCCCAAGGACACACAAATAAATAGACACTAGTCCCAGGATTCCCCATATTTTGCCACTTGTCCCATCCATCCTGTGGTGTTTAGGCCCTCGTTTTGAGGAGACAGCGCCCCGCATCACTCCTTCTCCTCCCCGTCCCCCTCCTCCGTCCTTCATCCTCGGCACACCTCTCACACGATCCGTGGCCCCATAGGGAGCTCCACCGAGTGCCTCCGTGGCGCAGCTCGCATGTGGGCGTCACGCCCGTTTCGGCACACGCCTCCCACGTTTCGTGGCCCCATACGGGGCTCCACCGAGTGCCTCCTGGCACAGTTTGCATGTCGGCGTCACGCCCGTTTCGGCATACCCCTCACACCTTTCGTGGCCCCATGGGGGGACTCCACCGAGTGCCCCCGTGGCGCAGTTCGCATGTGGACGTTGCGCCCGCTTCGGCACACCAACAACTCACACGCTTCGTGGCCCCATAAAGGGGGCTCCACCGAGCGCCTCCGCGGCGCAATTCGCATGCGGTTCCCCACTCATTCCGGCACTCCTCACACGTTTCGTGGCACACCCTCTCCCACGCATCGCGGCCCCACAGGTTGAGCGCGCCCGTTGTGCTACAAGAGGGGGGATCGGGTTTTGAGTTACCGATAATTCCCTGTTCGAGCTTCCCTATAATTGCCCTATAATTACCATGTAGTTCCCTAATTCCAATAATTTCCCTATAGTTACCCTATAATTCCCTATAACTCCCTTATAATTCCCGCCTGCTCCAACTAATGATTATGGGCGTCAGTCAGATTCGGTCTTACATGGTTAGCCTAAAGTCCTATATTACACGTAAAGGGGGTGGGGCTACAGGAAAACTACACCCATGGACCTCAAAGGCCTACAGGAGCCCTAAAAAGCCACGGGAGGAGGCACGGGAGGAGGCATGGGAGGAGGCACGGGCTCGGCATTCGAAGCTCTCGCCTGCTCCAACTCCTGAGGAGGGCCCTCACCAGGGGGCCTCGTCGGGCCCTCGGGGCCCCCAGGGCCCCGAGGAAAGGGCTCGGAAGAGGTGGAGGAAGAGGAGTAGGAGGAGGAGGAGGAGGAGGAGGAGGAGGAGGAGGAGGAGGAGAGGAGGAGGAAGAGGAGGAGGAGGAGGAGAAGGTCCCGAATTAACGGGAATTACCGTCCAGGCAATAGAAGGAAAAATGTCCCGGGAGGTCCCGGGCGGTGGGGCCCCGGGAGGTGGGGGCCTTCCCGGTAATTCGTTGTGATTGTTTGAATCACTATAACTATCGGGAAATTATCGGGAAGAGTTCCCGGGAGGTGGGGCCCCAGAAGGTCCCCGGGAGGTCCGTTGATTCTGGACGGTAATCCCCGAACCCTTGGACGGTGATCCACAGCAATGAAAATCATGTGGGGCGAGGGGTGGGGGAGCTCGGGTTGCTCTCCTGCAACTGCGCCTCGCCGAGAACCTTCCAGAGGCGCCGGAATCGCCCCGGACGGCCGCCCGAGGCCCGAGGAGGATCCAGGCCCCGGCCCCCTCGGGCGCCAGGCTGACGAGTCCCTCGAGACCGAGCTTGACAGGCTTATCGACGATATCTCTCCTCCTCCTCCTCCTCCTCCTCCTCCTCCTCCTCCTCCTCCTCCTCCTCCTCCTCCTCCTCCTCCTCCTCCTCCTCCTCCTCCTCCTCCTCCTCCTCCTCCTCCTCCTCCTCCTCCTCCTCCGTCTCCTCCTCCGTCTCCTCCTGTATGCGAACGCACCCACTGGGGCCTTGGAGTCGAAAAGTAACAGATAAAGGGAATACAAAACAATGAACGAGAATACAAGACAATTAACGGGAATGCATGACAAGACAATTAACGGGAAGACAAGACAATTATTGGGAAGACAAGACAAATCAAAAGAAAACAAGACAGTTAACGGGAATAATTAACGGGACGGGAAGAATTAAGGGGAAGGGAATTAAAAGGGAAATGAAATCAGCTCGGAACCCGATCCCCCCCCTAGTACCACAACGGGCGCGCTCAACCCATAGGGAGCTCGGGGGCTCCAACGAAAGCGATGGCCACAACGCGGTGCTTACAATTGCATGTGGATGGGTCCATCGTCCGGATAATATGTGGTGGTTCGTCTTGCCCTTCCCATAGTTCCCAACATTTTCATGGGAATCGACGTTTATCTGTGCCTGTGTAATTATGTTCTCCCCTCCTGAATGATACATGATACGATGCAGGTTGCTACGCTGTGCGATTCAACGCGGCAGAACACTCCTACGCCGCGGCATGCACAGCAGCGCTGCGACCTGCCCGAAGCGGCCCCGGACAATGGCCTGTAGCCCACGCCCTTCGGCCGCTCGCCTCTGCCCAAGAAAGACAGCCCGTCACCCGGAGGCACGCGCGGCCCGCCGCGGGAGCGGAGAGGCGCCCTCTCGTCTGGCCCCAGGGCTCTCTTTCTCTCTCTCTCTCTCTCTCTCTCTCTTGGCCTCCAGGCCCTCAGCAAGAGATCGCGACTGATGCTGCCCATCCTCGCAACGAGACCCTTCTGGAGCTTTCGGCGGGGCGTCTCTGCCAGTTCTTGCCGGGTGAACAACCCGGCCAGCTAGCTCCCCGCCAGGGCGGGGCGGCGGCGGCGCCTGTTGCACAAGCCTGGCCAGCGCGTCGCGGCAATCTCTGACAAAGAGAAGACGCAGGCATCCAGGTCCTGCGAGGCTGGCGCTCTCTGCTGATGGTGCAAATTGTCCCTGGCTGCGCAACCCGCGCCTGCCAGCCCATAGTGGCAGCTGGCACTGCCCCCGCTCCAGTTTGACCAGCAAGTCCAAGTCCGCGCGTTCCTCGCAAGCTGCTGGCAGGGCGTCGCTACGGGCTACTGCCGCGGCTTCCAAGGCCGCTCGCACACTGCGCAGCAAGTACGTCAGCTTGGTGGCCCCGCAGTGCCGCAGCAGGGGCCCAGCGGCCTGCGCAGCCAGCAGGTGCAAAGAGGCCCCGCGAGATCGACGAGGAGTTTTGCCGTTCGCCCTGCCGTCCTCGCGCAGCGCGCGCCGAAAGTCGACGCATCCCCGACGGTCTTGTCCAGCGGCCCTCAGGCAGGCAAAAGTCGGCGGCGAGCAAGGGGGAGAACTGAGAAGAAGAAGAAGAAGGCATTATCAGAAGGCGGTGGGATTTCTCAGAAGCCCTCGCGCCTTCTGAAAGATGTTCTTTGCCTTCGAGGAAGATTCAGACATCTTTTCAGAATGCCAGGGAACTTCCGAGCCTTCTGAGAAGGCCTTTTCCTTCTCATTTTGTCCCCCCGGGCTCGCCGCCGAGTCCAGCAGCCCTCAGGCAGGCAAAGGCCCCGAGGGCCTCGCCGCGATGAAAAGGCCTTGCGCACACCGTTACTTGTCCAGGCCAAGAGGCCAGGACGCGCCCCTAGACGAGGCCTATCTTTCACGGCCCCAACCCAAGGCCCAGGCCAGAGAGCCGTGTGGAGTGCCGCGGGCACCAGAACGACTGCACTGGACCGGGAGGCCGTCGAGGATGAGGCACCGACAGCGACCGAAGAGCAATGGGCAAGATGCAACACATCGCCAGCCACTTGGGCGGGCGGAGAACCTTAGATGGGGGGCCTATCACGTAATGTGTGAGGTAGCGGCGCGGTTTTGCACAGGCGGCACACCGCTACCCCTCGGCAGCCACCCCCGGAATTACGCTACCGAGGAACCCCACATACTGATTTTATGTCTTGTGTGAACCGCGCTACCACTACCACCGCCGTCATGCTCTCAGGTGCCCCCTGTGGTCGTTGAAAGGAGGGGGAGGACGTGTGGGGGGAGAGGAGGGGTTGAGGAGTCATCTGTGACGGTCATATCTGGCGTCGCCTGGCACTTGGATACGAGAGGTAATACGCAATCCCGCACTAGAGGCTATGCCTGGACGACCCTGGCACTCATAGGGAGACCACCCCCTTCGCACCCCCTCTGGTGTTGAGAAAATGCAACGCCTGCAATGCCTGGACGACCCTGGCACGCATAGGGAGACCACCCCCTGCGCACCCCCCCTGGTGTCGAGAAAGTGCGACGCCTGCCACGCGCCCCCACTCTGGCACGCATAGGGGCCGCGGTGAGAGACCACCCCCTACGCACCCCCCCTGGTGTCGAGAAAGTGCCACGCCTGTCACGCTCTCCGACCCTGGCACGCATAGACGCCGCGGTGAGAGACCACCCCCTGCGCACCCCCCCTGGTGTCGAGAAAATGCCACGCCGTCACGCTCTCCGACCCTGGCACGCATAGACCCGCGGTGAGAGACCACCCCCTGCGCACCCTCCCTGGTGTCGAGAAAGTGCCACGCCTGCCACGCTCTCCGACCCTGGCACGCATAGACGCCGCGGTGAGAGACCACCCCCTGCGCACCCCCCCTGGTGTCGAGAAAGTGCCACGCCTGCCACGCTCTCCGACCCTGGCACGCATAGACGCCGCGGTGAGAGACCACCCCCTGCGCACCCCCCTGGTGTCGAGAAAGTGCCACGCCTGCCACGCTCTCCGACCCTGGCACGCATAGACGCCGCGGTGAGAGACCACCCCCTGCGCACCCCCCTGGTGTCGAGAAAGTGCCACGCCTGCCACGCTCTCCGACCCTGGCACGCATAGATGAGAGACCACCCCCTGCGCACCCTGCCACGACGCACCCTAGACGCCGCGGTGAGAGACCAGCACCCCCTGGTGTCGAGAAACCTGGCACGCATAGACGCCGCGGTGAGAGACCACCCCCTGCGCACCCCCCCTGGTGTCGAGAAAGTGCCACGCCTGCCACGCTCTCCGACCCTGGCACGCATAGACGCCGCGGTGAGAGACCACCCCCTGCGCACCCCCCCTGGTGTCGAGAAAGTGCCACGCCTGCCACGCTCTCCGACCCTGGCACGCATAGACGCCGCGGTGAGAGACCACCCCCTGCGCACCCTCTCTGGTGTCGAGAAAGTGCCACGCCTGCCACGCTCTCCGACCCTGGCACGCATAGACGCCGCGGTGAGAGACCACCCCCTGCGCACCCCCCCTGGTGTCGAGAAAGTGCCACGCCTGCCACGCTCTCCGACCCTGGCACGCATAGACGCCGCGGTGAGAGACCACCCCTGCGCACCCCCCTGGTGTCGAGAAAGTGCCACGCCTGCCACGCTCTCCGACCCTGGCACGCATGCCGCGGTGAGAGACCACCCCCTGCGCACCCCTCTGGTGTCGAGAAAGTGCCACGCCTGCCACGCTCTCCGACCCTGGCACGCATAGACGCCGCGGTGAGAGACCACCCCCTGCGCACCCTCTCTGGTGTCGAGAAAGTGCCACGCCTGCCACGCTCTCCGACCCTGGCACGCATAGACGCCGCGGTGAGAGACCACCCCCTGCGCACCCCCTCTGGTGTCGAGAAAGTGCCACGCCTGCCACGCTCTCCGACCCTGGCACGCATAGACGCCGCGGTGAGAGACCACCCCCTGCGCACTCAGCTAAGCTGAGCCGAGCTGTGCTCTGCCGTGCTGTGCTGAGCTGAGCTGAATGAGGTGAATGAGCGCGGGTGCGGCGCGGCAGGGAAGAGAAGGAGAGGGAGGAGAAGGAGGAGACGCGGGTGAGACGCGGAAGGGAAGAAAACCAGAACCCCACGAAGCATGTGGGGAACAAAAACAGAACAAGGTCGCCGGCAGCGGCCAGCAGAGGAAGAGCTCATATATTGCAGCAGGAGGGGCGAAATCCCTCGGCAGGCCCGCGACAGGAGCAGCCCCCTGAGACAAAAAAGGAGGAGGAGGAGGAGGGAAAGAAGAAGGAGGGAGCAGGAGAGAACCGGAAGGCGGAGGAGACCCGCGCGCAGCAGCGGGGCCTGCGCCACCCAACCCGGCCGCTGGGCGCACGCGCACTGGCTAGAGGCAAGGGGGGAGGAGAAGCTCCGCGTGTCTTCTCAAGACGGCCCGCGCAGTAGCCCGCCGGATCGCCACGGACAGGCGCTGGCACAGCTGGGCCGCGCCCGCTCCAAGCTCCTCTCCACCTCTTCTCTCGCTGGCCCGTGCAAGCCGGCGCAGCGTGTCGGCGCTGGTCGGGCCCCAACCGCCGGACGGCTCCGCCACAAAAGGGAATGAACGCGATCCCCCGCTGCTGGCACAGGCGCTCAGTGTCGAGGTGGCTCCTCTTGACCATCTCGCAGTTTTGCGCCGCGCGTCCAACTCCCGGGAGCCAGGGCACGGGCGGCCTGCCTATGCGGCGAAGAAACCGCGAAGTCAAAGGCAGCAGGCGCCCCCTGGAATCAGGAGGGAATGTAGACGTCAGCTGGGCGGCGCCCACTCGCCTGGGTGTCGGCTGGGCGGGGTGGCAGGAGGCCTGGCTGTTCGAGTGTCCGGTTGGATCCCGCGCTTGTAAAGAAAGCGCCGACTACGTTCGTCACCCCGTTGTGCCCCAGCGCAAAGGCCCGCCTGTAGGCCGTGGCGGCGGCATGCGTCTTCGCAGCAGGGGCAGAAGTGCTCAGTCTCGTGCCCAGGCATGAACAACCGGCGCTTCACCTCGCACGCGAACTCCTCGGGTTCGAAGAGGAGCCCCAACTGCTCGCTGGGCTGCGCTTCGAGGAAAACCCGAGGCGCCTGGCAGCATCTATGGAAAAACGTCAGCGCGGTTTGCGGCCTCCAACCCGGCCAGGAAGAAATGGTGTCCGCGCTCGTCAATCGCGGCCGAGAGGTGCTGCTGCGTGGCTCGATCGAGCGCCTCAGAAACCAGTCCGTGCGCCAGCGGCAGCAAGGCGTTGTAAGCCCCGAGCGCCCGCCCACTGGACCAAAAACCAAATGACAATACACCACCTACGGCCCCACCAGCGCTTCGCATATACCATGCATTCCGGCTTGGGCTTTTGGGTGGCATACGCTACAGCGCCCGATTGGCCGTAGCGCAACATGGAGGGTCGAAGGTAGGGTGGTGTTGTTTGCTTGTTAGTCGATTCGCCGTCCAAATAGGCGAGGATGCGCACGTTTACTGACCGGCGCCACTGTTGAGCCCCAACTTCGACGTCAGTCTCCAAGTGGCCCCTTCGAAAACTGCACGAACTACGGCGCGAACATTTCAAGGCAAACTGCACTGACGTCGTGGTTGGCGCCGTCGTGCGCGGCTAGTCAAGCTGGAGGTGTTGTGCAGGACGGTATGCACGCGGAAACTGTTTGCTTCAGCCCGATCCTTAATCTCGCCGTAGAGCCCGCCAGCCTCAGTTGCACGGTTTGTTCACATCGATAGCAAGGATGAGTGACCCCAACCTCAACGACTGCATATCACAACAAAAAGACTGCATCGCAGCGTGAAACAAGTAGCGAATGGCGGCCGTCAACTCGCACGCTTCCGAGTGCAGAGTATTCAAAGGAGCGTTGAAACGAAGCGGCATGAGAGATGTAACGAAACGTATACGGCATCCAGCTGCAAGCATCTAACTACTGGAGCGTTCGATAAGTGGAGCCGTGGTTTTGCGGAGCCGCGGTCTTCGCTAATTGTGCCGAGGGGATGTCCGACGACAGGGTGTGCATCAAAGGACCAGCGCTGAAGGATGCGGAGCTCGTCGGCGCCCCGCGCGCTGCAGCCCACGAGCAGTGGGGGGGATGATCTCGATCGGATCTCCAGCGCTACGTGGAAAGAGCTTGTGATGGCGTCGGACGCGCGTTGTTTCGAGGTGTTATACGTGGAAGCGAGCTCCTTCTGTTCAACTGGAGGTGGAAGTGAGCTGGTGTATGGATTCCTGCTGGCCTCACTCCCGATCCAGGCGAGTGCTCCCTGTTCGAGCCGCCATGATCTTTGTCAGACAAGACCTGCCGTGCTCCAAGGCCGCTCGTGGGCGCGAGTTCATGGAGGGGGTAGCTGCGGGAGGGAGAAAGGTGCCATCTTCGGGCTCTAAAGGCCCCCCGGGGCCCTTGCAGGGGCCCTAAAGGGCCCCTGTTCTGCAGCCCACACTGCCCCCACCCCGTGGATCGCCCCCCCCATTACGCGCCCCCCAATGCTCTCGTGGCCGTCGTCTTCTGGATATCTCTCATGCGCTGGGCCTGAGGCGAGCACCCCGCGCTCTCCTGGCGCTGGGCTTGAGCGTCCGGTCTAAAGTTGGGTGGAAGGCGGGTGACAAGTGGTTCGTGGTCCTTGCACTTCGGCATGGACTCATCGGAGCTCCTCGTTGTCTTTCGGGGGGAATGGTCTCAGCACTATATACTTAGTAGTATTCGCGTTGGGCATGGTCAAACGTCATTGATGTCAAAATCCGGTTCCTCCTCCCCCCTCTGGTTCCTCATATTCCTTATCATCAGCATCATCATCACCATCCTGATCATCATCAGAAGATTCATCATCATCAGCATCATTATAATCATCATCGTCACCACCACCACCACCACCATCATCATCATCATCATCATCATCATCAGCAGCAGCAGCAGCAGCATCAACATAATCATAACCACCAGCAGCAGCAAGAGTGACAGCATCATCAGCAGCAGCAGCATCATCAGCATCCCCAGCATCACAATCATCGTCATTATAATCATCAGCATCGTTATCGTAGTTACAATCGTCATCGTCATCGTCATCGCCATCATCTCCACCACCACCTAACTCACCATCACCGCCGTCATCATCATCAGCATCAGTATCAGCATCAGGATCATCATGATCGGCATCAGCATCAGCATCATCATCAGCATCATCATCAGCATCATCATCGCCGTCGTCATCACAATCATCATACTCATCATCCCTATGTCTCCTCATCATCATCGTCATCATCATCAACAGCATCATCATCATAATCATCATCATCATCATCGTCGCCATCACCATCATCACAATAATCATCACAACAAAGACCCTCGTCAATCGTCATCATAAACGTCGACAACAGCATCCTCCTCATCATCATCATCATCATCATCTTATTCATCATCATCATCATCATCAGCATCAATATAATCGTTGTTATCATCCGCATCATAATAATCATCACCACCATCATAAGTTCACACCACCACCACCATCATCATAATCAGCAGCATCAGCATCATCAGCACCAGCACCGGCATCACCATCATCATAGTCATAACTGTCAACAGCATCAGCACCACCATCATCGTCAACATCATCACCATCATCATCATTATCAGCACCAGCATGGACATCGCCATCGACATCGCCATCATCCTCCCCCATCCTCATAACAGTCGTCAGCATCATCATCATCATCATCATCATCAGCATCATCATCATGAGCATCATCATCATCATCATCATCATCATCGCCATCATCATCAGTATCATCAGCATCACCAGCATCATCACCAGCAGCATCAGCATCCTCAATATAATTCTCAACACCATCATCCTCATCAACATTATCATTACCCATCAGTCGGAAGAAATGGGTAGAAACATGAAGTAGAAAGGCGTTGAAAATAGATTGGGTGTCCGCCCGCCCCCTAAGGAGGACGGAACAGGTTAAGCCACTAGATCAGTGAAGTAGGAAGTCGCTTAAAGTGCATTGGAATCTGGGACTCGAAAAACACATACTTTCAACGACCGATGGCCATCATCAGCAGTATCATGAGCACCAGTATCATCATCAGCACCACCACCACCACCACCGTCATCGTCAGCATCATCATCATCATCATCATCATCATCATCATCATCATCATCATCGTCGTCAACGTCGTCGTCGTCGTCGTCGTCGTCTTCAGCATCACCAGCATCGCCATCGTGACCACCATCCCCTTCTCACCATCAGTATCACAATCAGCATAAGCAGCATGACAAACGCCAACAACATGCTCATCCTCAGCAGCATCATCATCATCACCAGCATCATCAGCATCAGCATCATGCGCTTCAGCACCCTCATCATTATCATCATGAGCAGCATCATCAGCATCAGCAGCATCAGCATCATCAGCATCGGCATCGACATCATCATCATCATCATCATCATCATCATCATCATCATCATCATCATCATCATCATCATCATCACAATGAACATCAGCATCACCATCATAATCATCAGCAGCAGCATCGCCATCATCAGCATGAGCATCATCATCATCAGCAACATCATTATCATCATCAGAATCAGCATCAGCATCATCAACATCAGCATCATCAGCATCATCGCCAGCCGTGCCATCAGCAGCATCAGCATCAGCATCAGCATCATCAACATCATCACCATCACCATCACCAGCATCATCATCAGCATCATATTCATCATCATCACCAGCATCATCATCATCGTCAGCATCATCATCACCATCATCATCAGTACCATCAGCAGCACCATCATCATCAGCAGCATCAGCATCATCATGTTCAGCATCAGTATCATTAGCATCACCATCACCATCAGCATCATCAGCATCACCATCATCGGTATTACTATCATCGTCGTCGTCATCGTCACGCTTCGCAATTTCGCCCTCCTTGGGCCCTCTGTAAGGCGCCCGTAGACGTCGCCGCGGAAGGCTCTAGGGGGCTGCCGACGGATTGGCGGAGACTCTGGGATATGTGAACTGGTAGCGGTTGCCAACCACGACAACCTGTGAGAACACGGGATGAGACTACAATGGGCTGTGGGTGGGAAGGGGATCCCGGAGGGGGGGGGCTGAGAGGCTTGCAGGTGTGTTTGGGTTCTGGGTGAAGGGAGGAGGGGGGGGCTCTGAGAGGGAGGGAAGATAATGGCTTTGATTGCGGTTGAGTTCCTGTCGACCTGCGGGTTTCCCGAGGATGTGTTAGAAGGTTGTTGGTGTGATGTCGTTGGGAGGTTCGAGAGGTCTGGGGGGCAGGAGGGGGGGAAAGAGGAGGCGAGGGAGGAGGAGGAGAGGGGGGACGGGGAGGAGAGGGAGAAGAGGAGGAGGGAAACTGGGGAAGAGGGAGAAGGAGGACGAGGGGGGGGGGGCGTTTCAGAGGAGATTCCTGTCAGCCACAGTGGTGAGCAGCAGGAAACACGAGAAGAAAGGATGCGGGGAGAAGAGTGGAGGAGGAGACATGTGTAGCGACATGTAGAGGATAACCACATCTTTCGGCACACCCCGTGCCCCCACGGGGAATACAATGAAAATCCGCGGCCGCGCCACGGTGAGGGTGCCGAGCACATTTCTCGGTGCCACCCTCTCGGCATCGCGTGGCCTCTATGGGGGGGGGGCCGCGGCCAGGGCCCCCGACGAGCACACGCCACGGTAAGCAGCGCACGTGGTCGAGAAGGGAGGAGGAGGGAGAAGAGAAGGAGAACGAGGACGAAGAGTGAACTGAGAAACGGCGACGAGGACGAGGACGCGGAGGACGAGAAACGAAGAACCATCTGGTGCTCCACATACTGGAAGTCGTCCATCAGTGATGCGATGAAGTGCCTCGCGATGTAGTCGTAGAGTTTCCATTCCTTCCCCTTGGTGATCTCCCCGCGCGGTGCACACCTTCCGTCCTAACCATCCTCGCAAATCTCTCCACTCACCTCCCCCGCACCTCTCCTCCTAATCACCTCCACCTCATCCATCCTCCTCGCCCCCCCCTTCCCCCTCCGACTCCTCCTTCCTCATTTCTCACTCCTCACTCCTCACTCCTTACTCCTCCTCCTCCTCCGCCTCCTCCTCCTTTTCCTCCTACTCCTCCTCCTCCTCCTCCTACTCCTCTTCCTTTCCCTCCTCCTCCTCCTCCTCCTCCTCCTCCTCCTCCGCTTCCTCCTCCTCCTCCTCCTCCTCCTCCTCCTCCTCCTCCTCCTCCTACCCCTTTCCTCCTCCGCCTCCTCCTGTTCTTCCTCCTTTTCCTCCTTTTCCTCCTCCTCCTCTCCTCCTCCTCCTCTCCTCCTCCTCTGGTCTCTCCTCCTCCTCCTCCTCCTCCTCCTCCTCCTCCTCCTCCTCCCCCTTCCCCTCCCCCTCCCCCTCCCCCTCCCCCTCCTCCTCCTCCTCCTCCTCCTCCTCCTCTTCTTCTTCTTCTTCTTCTTCTTCTTCTTCTTCCTCCTCCTCCTCCTCCTCCTCCTCCTCCTCCTCCTCCTCCTCCTCCTCCTCCTCCTCCTCCTCCTCCCTCCTCCTCCTCCCTCCTCCTCCTCCACCTCCTCCTCCTCCTCCTCCTCCTCCTCCTCCTCCTCCTCCTCCTCCTCCTCCTCCTCCTCCTTCTGAGGCAACGAGGCAACGACGGCAATGGAATTCGTCGAATGCCGCCGTTTCCCCCAAGGCGGGCCACAAGCCAGCTTTAATGCCACACGAGGGGCCCACAAAGGCGAACACGAACCGACAATCCGAACATTCCGCCCGAAGAAGCCCCCTGGAAACCCGAAAGGCCCCTAAGAGGCCCCAAGAATCGCCCCAAAGGCCCCAGAGAGGCCCCACGAGGCCGCCAAGAAGCCCCCAAAAAAACACCAAGAGGCCCCCAAACGGCCTTCAGGAGGCCTCAGAATTGCCTTCACGAGACCCCCGGGAGGCCTGCCACGACATCCCAACGAACACGCAAGAGGCCCATCCACAACCCAGACACGGCGGTGGGATGGGCAGAAGACCATTCGAAACATAAAATACATTGACGGCGGCGAAACCGCACACAACACCAAGTGTTGCATCAACTTGCTCACCGCTGGCAAGTGACACCCCCATGAACATAACGATCCTTGCCCCCACCTCCACGCCGACAGCGTTAGGGCCGGGTTGCCGCGGTTACCCGTGCACCCTGCTAACTTCGTCTGAATTGCGTATTTATTCCTCGCCCCCTCTGCGACGGGGCTCATGCGATGTCACCAACCCATGACCGACGCCAATAATCAGCCCCTGGCTGTTTTTGCAAACTCCCAAGAACACCCTACTTCGTCATTGGCTTTCTCGCTGGTTGTCACCATCTTTCGGCATAATCCCGGGGCGCATCACACATTCGCCAACATCCAGCAACGCCTTGTCGAATTTGCGCCCCCTCGCCCAGTCGCGGGCCGTCTTGCCATCAATGCCGACGGTAGCCATATTCAGTAACGATCAAGCGCAAGCCGCCGCCCACGGCGCCGTCCACGGCGCGGGCAAAATATGAGTCCAACAAGAAGCGAACAGTGCATTTTCTGGGATCCTCACCCGTCCTTGAACTGTTTCAAAAGTCCTCAACTTCCACTGAAGAGGAACCCACCCCCTCCTTCAGAAGTGCCCGACTCCACGTGAATGCCCCCACCTGCAGCGCATGGCCATGATGGGGCCCCCGCTGAACACTGCCCCTTCTTCTTCCTTGCCTCGCAGCCGCACCATCTGCGCAAATCACCGACACTTCACCCAACAATCTCCAAATCTTCTTCACATCGCCCCCCATCCTGGCTGCGGCGAGGTAAATGCGCAGTGGCTTCAAATCACAACTGATCCCCCGCGGCGCCTCCGCCCCCTCCCCCGCGCGCGCGCCCCAGGCGCGGGCGCAGGCGCGGGTCCGATCGCGCGCGGAGGCTACGCGCGCCCCACAAGTGGAGACGGCGATGGAAAACACGCAATGAGACACACCCCTCCGATACATGAAAATTGCAGGCAGGCCACTGCGAGGTCGCGAAATCCACAACATCGCCCTCGAAAGTTGCTAAATCGAGCACTCGCGTGACATGGAATACTTATGATAGCGACGCGGCGCGTTTGCTACTCAGATACTTGTTCACGCGATTTGTCGGCCCCATCTACTTTGCCGTCGGGCGCCCCCAGGACCGCTGGCTTGAGAGAGATCCACTTCGTCGGCGACTTCGGCCACGCTACATCGCCTTGGAAGGTCCTGCGAACAAGACGCCACTGCAGTCCATCAACTACCTGCAGCCACGCGGAAACGGGGCGCTGCGACAGCGCGCTGCGAAGACGATGTCTGCACGGTCTGCAAGCGTCTTACCAATCCTCATCTGGCCGCTTCCAGAAGCCAGCGACTGTGGCAGCGTGGCTGATCTCGCAGCGGCAGTCCCCATGCGTCGCCGCTGCGTCAGCGCGCGCGAGGCCAAACCACGCGCGGCTGTAGACGAGACCACGCTGTCGGGGGAAGAAAAAAAACTAAGACGCAGTTTGACAGACATGTTCTCGCCGGTCAGGACCACCCGGTTGGAGTGGTATTTGGCCCACGCGCACTCCATGCGATAGGTGGCGTTGACATTCGATGTGCCCAGCATGCCCCCAGACAGCTTGCGCCCCAAATATTTGCGCATATCTGTGTCAAGCATAACTGGTGAACTCTGCTCGCAGAAACGCACATCCAGGGCATCCGCGGCCATGGAGCACCCAGGGTCGTTCGTGAACGCTTTGGTCTTGCTCGCATTTAGCACCAGCCCGCATCTCGGCAGCTCTTCGCAAAGGACCTCCCAGCATAAACGTTGCAACGTCCACAGTCGTGGCATGCAGCAACAGATCATCTGCGCATCGCACGTTCGCCAATCGCTCTGGCTCCCCAACGCCAATGCCACTCCCACGAACTCGATCCTCGAACCGCCTCGCGGCGCCCTCTAAGCCACACTCGAACGAGGGCGACGACAGCACGCCCCCCTGCTCGACGCCCCCGGAGATCTCGAAAAGCCCGCGCCCGCGCCCCCCCCCCCCCCCACCGCACTCTTTGTTTCCGAGCGCAACTGGATGATATTCACTTGGTCCCTGGGAACCGAATAGAACGGGGCCGACATGATGGGGCCCTGCCCGGAAGAAAGAACGCCCTCGCTACCCCCCGCCACCGCCGCCACTGCCGCCGCCGCCACCGCCGACTGTTCTGGCCGACCTCCCCCAATCATCCCCCTCCTCTTCCTTCGGGAACTTTCACGTCGAACTGGAAGGCGCGGCGGCGCCCATAAAAGTCGGCCCTCCCCCTGCTGGCTTCATGCCCCTGACGACTACCAGATCCCCCCCCGCGCGTCCTCGTCGAACGCGACCGCGTTGCCTGCGTCTACCATTTCACGAGCCGAGCCGAGGAACCATTTGACATCTGCTCCCTGGATATGGAAACTTCCCTTTGTACCCCTTTCGCCCCTGGCGGCAACGACCTCCTAGCCATCGTTCTTGATGTCTGATTCGCGCGCGGCGCTGCAGCGCCCAGCTTGACTTGGACGCCACGGCGGGCTCCGCACCGAACGAAATGACCCCCCACGCACGGCGGCCCCGCCGCGCCGGAAGCCCCCGAGCCCACAGCAACCACAACGGTCTCCACGCCCATGCCCCGAACGATCGACAGCGCCGCATTAATCCCCAGAACCTCACTGCCGACTTCAACCTAGCAGACCCCCGCAGATTTCTGTTGCCACCTTTTCTCCTGGACGAAACTCCCGCCAACCCGATCATCCCATTGATCGCGACGTGCACGAGCTGAGCCACTGCCACGGCGCTGGCAACTCTTCAAGCTGAGCGCGGCAAAACGTTCGGGCTTCTTCCACTCGCGGCACTGCTTGGTCCACTCGTTGGGGGTTGACAGGAACATCCACTCCACCTGTTCGTTTAACCTCTATCGGAGGCTCGACCGACTGGCACCCCGGCAGCAGCTGCCCTAAGGCGCAGGGCCCCCCAAGCCCCCCTCGGCCTTGCTGGAACAATTATCGGAAGCATGGTTTTTGCCCCTACACTTACAACAGCCCCTCGCTCACAAGCACGGATTTTCCGTGACCCCCCACGGCTCCTGTTCCTTGGGCTCCTCGATAATCTCGCGTGCGTCCTCCTCCTCCCTTACATCCTGGGGGGCCATCGGCACTGGGACTGCCCTTGCCTCCAGGGTAACCCCCGGCATTTGGGCTGCCCCACTTACCTCCGGAGGCCCCTGCGTAACTCTTGCTGCCCTGGTAACGGCTGTTTCCGCCACCCTTATCTTTAAAGCTCTCCTCGATGGCGCAGGCCCCTGCGAGGCGACCGTAACTCCCGCGCTTCAAGCATCGGGGCCCCGTGCATTTTACCCTCACCGTTGTTATCCTCGCTCGCGTCTCCAATTCTGGCAAAGCCCTCATCAGCACTCCAGGTCTCCACTGACTGGCCACAAGATGCCGGCGTCGTCGCAGTAACCCTCAGTAGCCCAGTTACTGTCCCACTTCTCGTCAGCACCACTGTTAACGTTGCCGATATCCATGGGCCCCTTGTCTGGGGCACCTGCATATGGCCTGTCATGGCGCGCCCAAGCCTCAGGTTTAACATGATACCAGAAAAAACCAAATCAGGGCTACAGGGCTAGGGGGCTGTAGGGCTATAGGGCTATTGAGCTATAGGGCTATAGAGCTATAGGGCTATAGAGTTGTAGGGCTATTGGGCTATTGGGCTAGGCTATAGGGTACCCCCGGGCACCCCCAGGCACCCCCGGGCACGCCCGGGCACCCGGGCACCGGGGCACCCCGGCACCCGCGGGCACCCCCGGGCACCCGGGCACCCGCGGGCACCCCCGGGCAAACCGGCCACCCGGGCGTGCGAAAATCGGCGGCAAACCAAACCTAACCTTATGAATATTGAGCTATAGGGCTATAGAGCTATAGGTCTATAGAGCTGTAGGGCTATACGGCTATTGGGCTATTGGGCTATAGGGCTATAGGGCACCCCCGGGCACCCCCAGACACCCCCGGGCACGCCCGCCGGGCACCCGGGCACCAGGGCACCCGGGCACCAGGGCACCTCCAGGCACGCCCGGGCACCCGCGGGCACCCGGGCACCCGGGCACCCCTGGGCACCCCCGGGCACCCGGGCACCCGCGGGCACCCGGGCACCCGGGCGTGCCGCGAAAATCGGCGGCAAACCTAACCTAACCTTATGAATATTGAGCTATAGGGCTATAGAGCTATAGGTCTATAGAGCTGTAGGGCTATAGGGCTATTGGGCTATTGGGCTATAGGGCTATAGGGCACCCCCGGGCACCCCCAGGCACCCCCGGGCACGCCCAGGCACCCGGGCACCAGGGCACCCGGGCACCAGGGCACCCCCAGGCACGCCCGGGCACCCGCGGGCACCCGGGCACCTTCAGGCACCCCGGGGGGCCCGCGGGCACCCGGGCACCCGGGCACCCCAGGGGTGCCCGGGGGCCCCCGGGCACACCTGGGCACCCGGGCACCCGGGCGTGCCGCAAAAATCGGCGGCGAACCTAACCTAATCATATGAATCCGCTAGGACCCCTACAGAGGCAAGCTCTGATTTGGGAAAATAGCTTCTGCGAAGAATCCACGTTAGGCGCCTCTGGAATCTTAAAGCAATCCGGCTGACCGTCATAAAAAAACAATCTCCTGCGTGACCCAGGATTCTCTTCAAGGCAGAAACTCTCGACGGCAAACCCAAGAGATCGAAGTCATTTCTTTTCCAGATTTCGACTAACGAACTCCATTGCTCAAGAGCGGAAGTGATGCCATTAACCTTATTGGGCATGTCGGGCTTCATGGCCAGGTTCATCTCTTGGGACACCATGTACCTGGCAACAGCCGAACACCACTTGTGAATACTCTGATTAACCATGATTCCGTCTCCTTCGTGCAGACCTCTGATCATACCTTCGGGCTCGGTTCCTTCCCGTGTGTCGTTCCACCGATACCAGACATCCTCGTCCAACTTCCCAAGTTCCTCCTCGTTGATGTCGCCATCACCTGTTGCATTGTTCTCGACACTCTGCGTTTGGGAGGCCTTCTGGTATTCTTCCATCGTTAACATCCCGCTCATGATGCGTATGATACCAGATTCCTCTGGTAGAGCACCGCCCATGGTCTCCAGTGTGTTGCTGAAGGTATTCAGCGCCTGTCGGCAACCGTGTCTAATTTTGGCCAGTGCATGTAACAACTGCTCATTCCACTCACGATGTTTGGTGCGGTCGCCATTGCACGTCTCAAGTTCTGGCAACGTTTGTTTACGATTCGCTTACCGTTTGGGGGGTGGTCATCCATCTTTGTCCTTCGCCTCGATGGCCTCGCTGACAATGGTCAAAATTATGGACCATCGACTTGGCGATGCCAGAGTTGAACTTTGGTAAGAAAACTTCGGGCGTCCTCATCTACCTTCTGGTTCCGAGTGAGCATGCTGACAGGTAGGCTCTTGGTTTTCGGTCATTAACAACGTTTCCCATGATTTCCGTTCGGTAACTTGTCGTACCCCCTGAGCTGTCCGACTTTCGCGGAAGTGTGTCATACCTTCATGGTTGGCCCGTAATGCTGTCCTGACGTAAGTGAAATCGCCGTCCATGTAGGCAAGATCGCACAACTCTATAAACCTCACGGGGTTGAGGTTGCACAAAACCTCTCGATCTTGAGGCGACGTTAGTCACAATGGTGGTCTAGCGGCTGCTGCAATTGCCGCCATTGTTCGCAACGAGCTGGTAACATCTAGCACCTCCGCTACCATGCAAATACAGAAGGAGTTGCACGACAATGATAGCCCTGATGAGAGGCCTTTTAACAGTGCACCGCAAGACCTCGCCACCAGCACATTCAACCAAAGAAAATATGGTAGCAGTCCGGATCCTAAGAGCAAATGCGGGTTACCCAATGGTGTCGCGTGTGCTGGCCCTCCCAGCTGTTCCTCCAGGCGTGAGGGGAACAATTTGAAACCTCCTCCTCCTCCTGCTCCTCCTCATTATCGGCATTGAGCAGTATCATCACCATCATCCTCACCACCACCACAACCGCAACAACCACCACCATCATCATCATCATCATCGAACTCGTCGTCATCATAATGTTCAGTACTATAATCGTCGTCATGATCATCATCTTCATCATCATCATCGCCATCATCATCATCATCATCATCATCATCATCATCATCATCATCATCATTACCAGCATCATCATCATGATCATCATCGTCATCATCATAAGCAGCAGCTGCAACACCATCATACTCATCATCAGCATCAGCATCATCATCATCGTCATCATCATCGCCATGATCATCGTCATTATTCATCATCATCATTATCATCATCATCATTATTGTTATCAGCAACGTCATCATCATCACCATCATCATCACCATCATCATCATCATCAGTATCATCATCAGCCTAGTCGTCGTCGTCGTCATTGTCGTTTTCATTATTCTCGCCGTCCTCGTCGTCCTTGTCGACCTCGTCATCCTCGCCATCCTCGTCATCCTCGTCATCCTCGTCATCTTCGTCATCCTCGTCATAGTCGTCATCGTCGTCCTCGTCCTCCTCATCGTCATTTACCTTCTCCTGTCTCCTCCTCCTCCTCCTCCTCTGCCTCCTCCTCCTCCTCCTCCTCCTCACCATCATCATCATCATCACCACCCTCGCCCTCCAACTCCTTCGCCTCAGTATCGTCCTCCCCCTCCTCCAACCCTCCTCCACCTCCTCCTCATCATCATCGCCATCATCATCATCATCATCAGCATCATCATCATCATCATCATCATCAGCATCATCATCATCATCATCATCATCAGAATCAGAATCAGCATCATCAGCATCATCATGACCAGCATCATCATCCTTATCCTCCTCATCATCAACAGCATCAGCATAATCATCACCATCATCATCGTCGTCGTCGTCATCGTCGCCATCGTCATCGTTGTTGTTATCGCGGTCGTGATCGTCATCGTCATCGTCATCGTCATCGTTATCCCGCCTCCTCTTTTTTCTCCTCCTCCTCCTCTTAATGCCCCTCATCATGCTCCTCTTCGTCCCCCCTCTTGCGCCTCATCGGCGTGATCGGGGGATGGTCCCCAGCGTCGTGGCCAGAGGTGGGCGGCCGGATCATCGGATTGTTGTTGAGGATGTAGCTGGCGGTCTTGCCTGCGTGGCCCCCGAACATGATCGAGGATCGAGGAGGAGAGGGACCCGGGCTCAAGGGTCGATTTTCGAGGTTCCAATTTTCGAGGTTCGGGGATGGAGCATCTACGCCCTTCTTTGCACTCTGGGGCATCTGGGAGCGGAGCGTCCTGTTTGGACCTCTGGGGGCCTCTGGGGCCTCGGGGAGCATCAGGGGATCTCGGGGGGCTGCGTGGGGACCTCTGGAGACCCAAGGGGGCCGCAGCCCTTTCCTGCGGGGCCCCCCATGAGCAATGCGCGCGGGAAGGAGCGTCCGACGTCGGCGGCGCTCAGAGAGGCGAGCGGAGAAGATCACAGGGGTTTCGGTCCCTCCCAGATCTGGCCAAGACTGGCACGCGTTTCCTCAAGGCGCCGCCCGCGGCCCACTCGTCTTGTACCCAGACAAAACGCCTGGGCGACACAACCCGAAGGGAGGTGCAAAAGGGTGCCCGCATGAATTCACATGCAGTCGGACCTCGCAACATGAACGGCGGTATAGACCCGCCCCAGGCGTCACATCTGCGCCGCCGTTGCGAGGTGCCTCGAGATGCCACCCCGAGACACGGCCACCAGCACTGAGGGCACCCAGCGGCACAGGTGCCATGCGGCCCGCTCGACATAGAGGGATGAGCGATGTCTCGGCCAGCGCCCAGACACACCGCCGGCTCCAGTGCGGTCAGGCGGCCTCCTGACCCCAGAAGGAGGAGGACGGAGTTGTGTGGCCTTCGAGATTGTTATTACTGGCGCGCCCCAGCATCGCCATGACTCCCGCCTTCTCCATCACATACTCAAACTGACTTAGCTATTCAACAGACCCGCTCATACTCAGACACATCCGCGCTCAGACCCATTCATACTCAGACTAAGTCACGCTCAAATCACACATCAGTATTGAGACGCGATCACACTCATATCCACTCATACTCAGACCCACTCACACCTGGACTCGCTCAGACTAAGCAACCACTCATATCCAGAACAACCCATACTCAGCCTGACCCACGCTCAGGCTCACTCATGCGTGGTCCCGCTCATACTCAGCCTCACTAGTACTCAGGCCCGCCGCGATGTAGCAGGCATGGCATCACAGCCTCCCACGTCGGTATGAGACGGGCCCGTGCGCATCCAGATTGCGAGGACATCGAGCAGAATGTCCGCTCCTGAAAGCGGATGTGTCTCTTCGCACAGCCCCAGGACCCACGCGATGCAGCAGGCATGGCACGTCAGCCTCCCGCGGGGGAGCCGCCAGGGGATAGGGCACGACCAGCTCGCTCCCAGAGTGTGGCTACCTCTCAGGCGAAACGCCCGCTTTGGAAAGTAGACGCGTCTCTTCTCGCAGTCGAATGACTTCCACAATGTAGCAGGCATTGCGCGTGGGCTTCCCAAGGGGGAGCCTGAGGAGATATGACCCGGGCCCGTTAAGCCCAGACTGCGAGGAACGATTAGGCGAAATGCCCGCTATGGAAAATAGTCGCATCTCGTCTCAGAGTTCCATGGTCACCGCGATGCAACTGGCATGGCCCAGGGAGGTATTACACGAGCCCGTTCGCGCCCAGATAGTGGGACACCCCGAACTCCCAGATTGCAGGACCCTCACTCATGCCCAGATTTACTCATCCTGCGATCAATTCACGCTCAAGCCCGTTCATACCAACACTCGGTCAGATTCAGGCACACACACACGCTGCCAAGCTCACTCGCACCTAGACCCACGCATATCAAGGCGCTCATGCGCAAACGCCCTCACATATAGATTGGTACCCATACCCAATCACACCCAAACACAATCAGACTGAGACGCTCTGTATCAGCCCCAGCCGCTCATCTTCAGACGCACTCGCACTCAGACTCACTCATACCCAGACTCATTCATACCCAAACCACACACACACACATAGATCCGCAAATACTCAGACTCAGTCGCATTCAGCAGCTCCAACAATACTTGGACTAAGCCCCGCCCAGACTCACTCATGCTCAGCCGATCGTATCCAGATTCGGTCACGCTCAGACTCTGATATATACACTCAGAAACGCGCTAGAACATATATCCACATATTATGGGGATCCCCGTGTCGAGTAATTTGCTCAGTTCAGGGAGGAGATCGGAGGTCTCTGGGGGCTTCTGGAGATTAGGAGCAGCAGAAGCCCCGACCCTCAAACGCTCCCCTGTTACTGCATCGGAGACGAGAAGAGCCCCCCTCCCTCCTCAAAATCTCACTCCTCAATTCTCAGGGCGCGTTTCAAGGCGAGACCCGAGGAACGGGTGCGCCGTCTCTTTCTGCACTCACGCCAACAGGTGCGCGAAAGACCCGACCATTAAGCCACAGAGGGCCCCAAGAGGCCCCCGGAAGCGCAGGAGGACCCAGGATCGAGGATCGATGATTTTGAGCTTTCGTTGCCGATGTTAGGCCTCCGCAAGCCCCTCCATCCTCCCCATCCACCATCTTCCTGAGCCCCCACACGTCCCCCTTCCACGCTGCACCCACCCAACCACCCTCCCTCTTCCCTCTCCAGCGCGCATCTGAAGGCGTACGATTATAATATCAGGCCATGCCATGTTTGATACTGACATATTGCGAACAGAGCAAAACAAACACGAGCTTGTCGGGCAATGATGAAACAACAACTAATCATGTTCCTCCTGCTCCTCCCCTCATGGCCCTCCCCCACTCGTCCTCCTCCTCCTCCTCCTCGTCCTCCTCCCTTCCTGGGATGGGGACCTCCAGATTGAAGTTTTGACCTCTATTCCTCCAGATGGACAATCTTGGATTATCTGGACACTTCAGGACGCTGGTGGTATACAGTTGAGAACTTTCGCTTAGCGTGTCGCGGCGGCCGTGCCTGCGACACGTCGCTCCGCTCCGTGGGACGGAAGGCTGGGGAAAGCTCGGGACGTTGATGCCGGGGGACTGGGGCGTGGCCAGCATGTCGCGGCAAGCGCGGTGGACCAGAATTGGCTGAGCGACACTCAGCGAGCGAAGAACGGTATAAAATAAACTTTCCGCCGTCGGGGACACCTGCCCCTGGGCGGCTGGAAAGTTTATACCCCTACGGTGCCACCGTAAGGGTATAAACTTTCCAGCCGCCCTGGGGCAGGTGTCCCCGACGGCGATAAAGTTTATGTTATAACGTTCTTCGCCCGTTAAGACACGCTGAGCAAAAGCTCCCAACAACATCACTGAAGTGTGTTTTCGCTGCCGGATCGCCCCAGTTAGGGTGCCACGACTGCTCCCGCAACGCCTCGGCCATGTCGAACGAATCGGGGTACTTGGTGGACTCGGTCCTGGGCGCGCGCTCGGTCCTCCTCCCTCCGCCGGGACGAGGGCAGGATAAGAACAGATCGGGGAAGATTAAGTCCCGATGGGATCCCTGAGGGCCAGCGAGCCCAGAGGATGCACCACACGCCGCTACAGTTCTACAGCGTGCCAAAACGCTCTGACTGCGATCTGGAACAGTTGATTCACATCCAGGGGCTGCCTGGCATCCCTTTCCTCCGTTAGACGCCCTTTGTCACCTGCTGCGGCAGACCAACGAACTTCTAGAATTTGCTACTCTCAGTGGGAAGCAAACTTAAAATTACTACGTCTGGGCTCTCTTGGCCGATCCATATCTGGCACGTTTACCTCTCTTTTTCTATCATTCCTCCATCCTTACCTCCCTTCGATGACCTTCCCTAATTTCTCCTCTTCCCGCTCCTCCCCCTCCAACTCGTGTTCCGCACCTGCCTCCTCAATATCTTTTCATTACACGTGGTTGCTAGCGTGGCCCAAAACAGTGACATGTTGCACTGTGGATGTGTAAGAGATGTGGTGTGGTCTGTGGTTTGTGTTATGTGGTGTGAGCTGTGAGATGCCAGGTACGCAGCGCAATCTGTGTGGTGCAAGACTACGCGGTATGAGCTGTGTGATGCAAGCTATGTGGTGCGATAGATGTGGTGCAACGTACACGCATGTCTTATGTTCACACATATACGACTACGAATTGAGGTACAACCTCGCTGAAATTATGAATCCCCGTGCGAGGACAAATTTCCCGGCTCAAACTTCTGAACGCATCTGAGATTCAGGTGACGGGTCAAGATCACGGACTACGGCGAAGATTTAAGCAAACGTCTAAACAAACATATCCGGATTAAGGGCCACATGAATACAGGGATTTCGAAAATCATGCCAACCAAACAACAAAACCAGCACTAATTGTTCACTCAATGTTGAGAAGAGAAGGAAGAAAACTGACGGGAATGCCAGGGCGTCGACATCCGGCATTGCAGCGACGACGGCAAAATTTAAAATTGCCCCGGACTCGGGCGAAGGGGGAAGAGGAAGAATGAGGGGGGCAAAGCGGCAAGAGGGGAGGAAGGAAGGAGGAAATCAAAAGAAATCGTGTGTGCATCCCCGGCGGTCTGAACGACCAATTATATGCGAACTCTCTCGTACAACGTCCAGACGATTAGAATGCACGCGCGCATGGCAAGGCAAGTGAAATCCCAACCACGCCGCGAGTCTAATATCCGCCGGCCCCCTTGCGGGGCCATTAGGCTGCGACGTTTAGGCTTGCTGCTCCTCCACTTGCAGGTTCCATTTTCCATTGTGATAATTTCACTTTCTGATTCCTGATGTGAATTGTTACTGTCCGCGCGAGGGGGGGGCCCAAAGGACCTGGTTACGACGCCCAGATCCCGCTCCCTGAATTCATGGGAGGGCGTGGGACACGTAAAAATACTTGAGACTCGCACTCCCGAGGCCATAATACCTCGTAAATTACACCATGCCCGCGTCCCTGAGGCCACAAACCCTTTACACATTACACCATTGTTGCGTCCCCGAGGCAACAAACCCATGCAATTTACAAATACTCGCGTCCCCGAAACCATAAAATTTTGAAAATTACGCCATGTTCGCATTGCCGAGGCCAAGAGTGCTCCAAGGCGCCCGAAGATGGTTGCAGGACGGCCCAAAAGGACCCAAAGAGGCCCCAAGAGCGCTTCAAGAGGCCTCCCGAGAGCCCCAAGAGACCAAAATCGTGTATTTTAAAAAGGTAGTTAAAAGATTGTGGCCTTTTCGCATTTTCGGCTCTCCGACGCTCCAAGACGGCTCAAGAAGCTCCCAAGACCGCCCCGAAACAACCCAAAACGCTTCCAAGAAGGCCCCAAGACGGCCCAAGAGGGCTCCAGGATGGCCCCAGAAGCGCTCAAGACGGCCCAATAGGCCCCAAAACGGCCCCAAGAGGGGCCCAAGCAGAGGACCACGAACAATCTATATTTGTGCCCCGAGAAGCCCTCAGGAAGCCCCACGAGGCCGCCAAGAGGCCCCAAGAGGCCCCAAGAGGCGCCCAAGAGGCCTCCAAGAGGCCCAAAACATACACCACGAGGCCCCAAGAGGCTCCAAACCCCCCCCCCCGAGCAAAAGGGGTGCCCAGAGAGACCGACCCGGAGGACCCCTAAAGGCTTTGTAAGGCTTTGTCAATGGCGGTCCTGATGGCACATCTCATTACCTCAATGATGGTTTCGGGTAAAACTGGGAAACAAGACCCCAGGGTCCATCTCAGGATGAGCACCTCCAGGATTGTCTACCCTTGGAGCCTTCTCGGGGCTACATGCGGGCCCCTAGATGGCGCGCTTGCGATTGGGGGTTCCCGGGGCTTCCACAGCAAGTCTCGCGGCCTTGCGGCGCCGTGGAGTCCTACGTCTTCGCGGCCACCTCGGCGGCCCCATCGGTGGGCCCCTTGGAGCCGGCATCCTTGCCCTTGATCTCGTCCTCCTCGATCGTGGCCTCCTCCTCCCACTCCTTCTTGTCGCCCTCCTTCTCGCTCTCATTCTTCTGCTCGCCCTGGTGCTCGGCCACGGAGGCGGCGGAAGCTGTTGCGGCAGCGGGCGCTGATGCAGCTGGCGCGGGCAATGCTGCGGGCATTGCTCCAGCACCATCATCGGGGCTCTGCGCGGGATCGGCCAGCACGAGCGTCAGTGCATTGCGCCTGCACCGCGCCAGCTTCATCTCCACATCCACCTCTGCTCTGACAGCGGATGGCACATCTCTCTGCGACTTCTCGAGCTTTGCCTGGGCGTTATCCAAATTGGCGCGGGTTGCTTGCGTCTACGTCTCGCGGGCATTGAGGGCGTCGGAGATGACAGCGTCGCGGTTCCAGCACTGTTTCTGTTTCTCCTTGGCGCCAGACCCAGGCGCCTTGACGCCTCGGCGCTTGCCCCGGCCCCATTCTCCCAAGTCCTCCTCCTGCTCGCCGTCTGCATCGCTGTCCTCGAGCTCACCTTTGACGTCGGCATCGGGGCGTTTATCGGCGGACTTGGCCTGCTTCGCCTCGTTGTCCCTCTTCTTCCGGACGGCTTGCGGGAGGCCCTTCATCTCCTCTCAGGCAGGGGCGGAGGAAGCAGCCAAACCTAAGTCGGAGAAGGCTGATCCTCGAACGTCAAAGGAGCTGCCAGCAGCAGCCGCAGCGCCACCGACGATGGCCGCGAGCTAGTCCTCGTCTGTCGCCGCCGCAGCGCCTGCAAGCATGCCCCCCGTTTGGATGTCTTCCCCGAGCTCGTCGATGTCGTCATGCGTGGCGTTCTTGATGATCTCGCCGCGGCCCTGGTAGCCATTGGACCTCTCCCCCTTGTCGACAATGCGCAGCTCGTCGCTCTCCCCGATGGCAACTCGAACCTGGCGCTGCTCATTCGGGCCCAAGTTGTCTCTGATTGCCCCAGGCGCCTGCCGATGCTCATGCCACTGCTTGGATGCATCGCCTGCCTACATGCCCCTGTTTTTTGGCTTGGCCATGAAAGCGATGCACGACCGCTCGTCGAACATCTGGTAGACGCCCTCGTACTGGATAGCTTTGGTTCGCCTCGCCTCCTCTGCGCGTGCATTACATCACGGGGAAGGTGGGCCTCCTCTTACCAGGCTCTGGATTAGGGCATAGATCCAAAATGCGTTCCAAGACTGGCGCGAGCTTCTCCCAGCCCTCGGATATCTCGGCCAACCAGGCGCCCTCGCCTTTCGAAATAGCGGAAGCCCTCACGCGCTGCAACGCCTTCTCACGGCGAGCGCATTGTCCGCTGCCTGGCTGAAACTGATCGACAGACAACGTCTTGTTACAAGGCGGGCATAATCTCTCACTACCGTTCGCAGCGCGACGTTTGCCAGCCCCGCCACCGCCACCGCCAGCAAGTGCCTTGCGCGCTGGCTCTGCCTTAGCCTTGGCCTCGGCCCCACCTCGGCCTCTGCCGCGGCCTTTGCCCCTGCCGCCGCCCCCCCCCCTCCCCCCCCCCCCCCCCGCTGCAAGGTAGATGCGACCCTGCCTTTTGCTCGAGGTCCTGCGGCCCCTTATCCTCGCCTGTCGGCCCTGAACCCACCGCTGGGAGATCGCCGTCGCCCGCGGCCGCAGCGCGGCAGCCCGCGGCCGACGCGGGCACCAGGGAGCAAGCGACGCGCTGCGGAAAGCGCGATTCACGGGAGAATGAGAAACACGAGCCAATCAGCGGATGCTCGAGGAAGGCATAGGCCAGGAAAGCGCCTCGGCGACCAGAGCTCACATGGACCCAGTGTTGAACCGTTGCTGGAACATCGCGACTGGCATTGACGACCCCAGGCTTACTCTTAGACAAGCAGAGCGAAGCCTAAGCCAACGTGATCCGAGCGTTGATGTATTCAGATGGGCCAAGTAAAGCTCAGCCAAGATCTAAGCAATGATAGGCTAGGGTAGACCAAGCAAGGCTGAGCCACGAGCTGAGCAAGACAGAGCTCGCTGCGACTCAGCTCATGGGGGGGCGCCACGCTAGGGTGGATGGCCGAGTCTGTGCCGCGCGGGGACTTGCTGCTGAGCTGAGCTGCACTGGGATGGGGCACACAAAGCCAAACAAAAAGATGCTGTACCAGGTCGGGTCAGGCCGAATCAACGCGCTTCAATTCAGAGCGCGACTAGTCCAAGCCAGGCTTGGCTAAGACTGGCGGTGTGTCACGCATGATGCCTACGCTAACCTGGCCCTGCCCGAGTCGGGGGCCACTCCTTGCGTGCTTGGGCAAATACGAGTAACGTCGCCTAAGTGCGACGTCGATAGCACTGCGCGCTCTGCGCGCGGCATCTCATCCAACTCGACATGGCGCAAACTGCCCCACGCCAACACAACAAGAACACATGGTCATCGGGAAAGGCACCTGCACGTGCAGCCACGGTCAAACGCCACCCGAACATTTACTTCAATGCTTCTTGGAAAGGCTCGCCGGGCCCCAGGGTTCCCTTCTGCGCCCCCCCACTGCAATAGGCGCAACAGATTGCGCAAGCGATGCATTGAAGCGCGCTCGTCAACCTCTCCCCCGCGCCCCCCCCCCTTCGCGCCCCCCTGAAGGGCGCCGAGGGGAGAGGGGGCCATCATGTTTGTTTTGCGCCTCAAACAGCGGGATGATGATCCCCCGAAGATCGCCTGGGAACCCCCCTATCGCTTCGTTTTCAAAGATTCACAGAGCCAGTCGGTCGGTCAGATCATTTGTCTTCAACTGGCCCTGGCTGCGCAATGGAGCCCCCCTCGGCCTCCTCCTCCTGCTCATCATAATCGACCATTCCCACTCCAAACCTGAGGCCATCCTACGCTGGAAAATTAACGAGATCAATATTCAGTACCTCACGTGGCCGACTGCCTTACCAGCAAAATGCATAGCGAGCCTAGGCCTGAGAGTTGGAGTTCTTCCTGAGGGCCGCCTTGTTGGATGCGAGAACGTTGCGCAGGAACCCGGAGCTGATCTACGCCACGCGCATCGCGTTGTCAAACAACATCACTTGCCCCCGTGCTGTCATGCCATCCAGAATAGCGGCCCCGAATGGGCCGGGCCACCCCCTGGAATCGCCAGGCGCCCAACGCCCTGCATCGAACATAACTCAGGCGCAGTGAGCTCGCGCGAAGACACGAGGTCGCAAAGGTGGGAGGCGCCAAGACGGTGCTGAGGTAAGCGAAGCCTGCTTCAAGTACTCAGGGTTCTGGTCTACGTTAACAATGGCCACATCTTGGTTCCACTCCATAGCGCCGCCCTTCCATGTCACGCACTCTGGAGATTTCAGCGCGAACAGCTGCCACCCCTCGAAAGCGTTGGACGCGCTGTAGGACCACGGTTCCGAATAACGCAATGATGCTCTATCATATGCGGAGTAGCCGTCAAGAATACTTTCGCCGTGCAGACCAGCTTCTGTCAAAGAGATCGCGGAAACCAACGCAGGTGTCGAGCTCAACGAAAAGGCGCAAGCGGAAGGACATGCATTGCCTGTCACCGTGAACAGGGATGCCAAGAAGCTTGGGGTTAAAAACGATGACGTGGTGGTTGTAGCGAACGGTAATGTCGTCTCCTTTCTGCAACTTTGCAGGTCGTTCGCCAGCAATTCGAATTTCGACTCCAACTGCATGAACTGGGGGCCCTCGTGCAAACGGTGATTTCGGCCCCTCCGGCGACGTCGGGATCTTGATCATGGTGTGTTCCGAATGGCCTCTCACGTTCTCATGGAGCACGCTGTCGGCTTCATAGAATCTATCGGATCTATCAATATCAATGCTGGTAAACAGCGCTCGTCAAGCCAGCGCGTGTACTGTTGGTTCATCTGGCTGTGCAGTGCGCAAATAGCGCCGGCGCCTCCCAACCAATACTCGTCTGCGAACTCGGGCACCGATCTCGGGCCGATGGCGCAATAGCGACCGCGCGCATCGCAAAATGCCGCATCTTTGAATTCCACGGCAGACAAGCGTGCAGAGAGCTTGGAGATCAGCTTCTGGCGCACGTGTTCTTGGTAGTCCTGCTGAGCTCTTTGTGCGCCTCGCGTTCGAGGGTTGCTTGCAAAGTCCAGATGCACAGCCTTCACTGCTTACAGGATTGTGTTCTGAATATCCAAGAGTTTTAAATGCTCCTCCGCCTTCATCCTCTCCTCCACGCCCCTGAAAACGTGGAGCGGCCTCGCGCCATCAGTGCGCGAGAATATGCGACTGCGCGCTTTCTCATCTTTTTCCCAAGCTGCATAGCTCACAAATGGTATGCGCCGTCCTACCTACGAGAAAGACCCCACCTGATTGAAACAGGCGCCGAAAACAGCCAAAATCTACTCCATGGGGGAGGGAAGGGGTGCGAGGGCCCGCGCCGATCGGCAAAACAATAAGGAAACGATCGTGAAGCACCGTTTCGAGAAAACCTGATATCTCGATGCGGCACGACACAGAAAATGCATGTGCTTGCAAGGGCGCGCCCCAGCACCGAATGTTCCGGAAGGATATCGTGATGCAGTCTATGTGATACAAGCTACGGGGTGCAAGCCATGTGGCGTCGGCTATACAGTACGCACGGTTTGCCGAGGCGGCGCCCGCGGGCGGCAACGCGGCGAAACCTCCGCAGACCCATCCAGCGCACGGGGCGCCCACGAGGCGCCCAGGGGCGGCAACGTGGCGAACCCTCGGCGGAGCCACCCAGCGCACGGGGGGCCCCCCGAGGCGCCCAGGGGCGGCAACGTGGCGAACGCTCGGCGGACCCACTCACGGACACCCACGAGGCGCCGACGGGCGGCAACGCGGCGAAGCAAACCTCCGCGGACCAACTCAGCGCAAGGGGCGCCCACGAGGCGCCCACGGGCGACAACGCGGGGAAACCTCGGCGGACCCACCCAGCGAACAGAGCGCAAACGAGGCGCCCACGGGCGGCAACGTGGCGAAACCTCGGCGGGCCCACCCAGGGCACGGAACACCCACGAGGCGCCCATGGGCGGCCACGTGGCGACACCTCGGCGGACCCGTCCAATTCCGTTGTCGCCATCGCTCGGGCGTCCATTTGCCGTGCATTTGTCGGTTTCGTGCGTGTTTTTTTTGCTCGATGGTCCAGGATGGTCCTCGATGGTTCTCGCCGAGGAAAAACGTACACGTCCAATCGATGCCAAGTCTAAGTGCAAGCACTGTGTGCAAATAGCTCCCCCCTGTCGCACCCCCAGGCGTGTCGGCAGGGCGGGCTGGGCGTTTCGCTCGGGACGTCCTTACCATGTCTGATGCTGAAGCTTGGCATGTTCTACAGCTTCAAGGGTGGAGGACGGGTGCCTTTCAAAATGCGGCTCGTCTTAGCGCCGCGCACACTCGTCGCAAAAACAAATGCAGCGGTTTCAAGGATGGCGGGCGAGTCGTTGTCAAAATATGTTTCTCGCCGAGGCGCCGAACACACTCGTCTGAAAATGTACAACCGTTTCACGGGTGAAGGGTAGTTCCTTGTCAAGTTGTGGTTCTCGCCTTAGCACCGCGCACGCTCGCCTTAACGCTTCGCACCAGCTTCAGAGCTTCAACAATGAAAAGGGTAATTCCCAAAATGCGGCGCTCGCCTTCGCACCGCGCACAGTCGTCTTGTCTTGAACATGTTCAATGTGGGACTCTCGCCTTACGTAGTGCCGCGCACACGCGTTTGAGATTATTGTAGCAGTTTCAGATATTGAGCACTGGTCGGCTTCGAAATGGAGCGTTCGCCTTCGCGCCGCGCGAACATGCTGTCGGCGCCATGTCCAGCAGGATGTAGGACAGATCTGTTTCAAAATGGTGTTATCGCGTGAGATTGCGCTAGTTCTAAACACCCGCGTCAACGCCTGTGGTGCTGCACGGATCCCGAGCAGCTCTTTTTCGAAATGGAGCTGTCGCTTGAGACGTCTTCGACGTCCACAACCCCACGTGCAAAGTTGCTCAACAATTCAACGGATGGGAGGGGCAGTCCTTCGCCGAGAGGGGAGTCTGGCTGGATGTCCCGTTGACATGTGTGGTCATAATTACTCCCGTGCCTGACGATGCGTCAGAACTGTGCCAGGCAGTTCTTGCTCAAAACGGAGCCACGGCCAAAATGGCAAGCCCACCTGCGATAGTCTGTCAAGGGGACGCTTCTTGCAGTGAGAAGGAAGATGTGCAGGGGCGTGCGATGCAGAGACTTGGGACGGGAGGGCGTACTGCAACATCGCTGGAGCATGTGTAGTTTTCTCTGTCCCAGCTAATCCGTCCACTCCTGCTCCTCACTCTTTTCCCCATCCTCCGTGACCTCCTTCAATCATCTGAGCCAAGCAACTCTGGACTCCTGCGGTGAGTGATGGACAGTCCTGGGATACGAGATGTACCCTGTCGTGTACAGGTGCTCCGCGTTCTTCATGGCCACGACAGGCGACATGCCCATACCCGTGGAGGCGGCCTTCAGCAGCTGCACGGTGTTCAGGCCCACTGGTCTCCGCACGGCCTTCTGCTCCGACCTCACCTCCTGCACAATCACCTCGGAATGGGACAGAGCTTGCATCGGACACGCAAGTTCAGCGAAGCAATGCGACGAACACGTCCCTATCGCCTCCCGCCTCTCAACTCTCTCCTCCCTCCTCTAACCTCCAGCTCCCTCCACGTATTCCTTTCCCCCCCCCTTTCTCCTCGCCATCCTCCTACTCGCCCTTTTCCTCCCAGTCCTCCTCCGTATCCTCCTCCTCCTGCCCCTTATCCTTCTCATCCTCCCATCCTCTCTCCTCGATTATCTGTCCTCTCCTCTATTCTCATCTATCCCATCTCACCTCTCTCCGCTCACCTCTCTCCTCATCCCTCCCCCTCCTCCTCCTCCTCCTCCCCCTCCTCCTCCTCCTCCTCCTCCTCCTCCTCCTCCTCCACCGCTCCGACGGTGGCGTCGGCACCGCGTGTCCCCGAGCCGGCTTGGTGTGAGGCGAACGTTCAGGGGCGGTCCGAGGTAGAAAACGTAGAAATCGTTCTGGGCGACACGGAGGAGGACGTGTTGCGAAAATGACGCCAGCACGCGCGACAATGCACCTGCAAATTCGCCGGCCCAACGGGCCAAGGGCGTGCTATGAACTCCGGCAACTGGTTAACAATATTCTAGTTCGCGCGCGAGGGGCAACCCCTGGGGGTCCCCGGACGAAAAGTACCCCGGGAGACCCCCGGGACACCCCCGGGACACTCGGATCAGAGATGCCAGACCGGGCAATTGTTCGACACCCCTCACGAGGATCGTGGCCTCCGAAGGGAGCGGCGCAATCGGCTACCCCTTCTCTTGACCCAAGAGGTCCCCAAGAGCCCCCCAAGAGGCTGCAGGGGCCCCCAAGACGCCGCCAAGGAGCCCCGAGAGACTCCCAAGAGGACCCCGAAAGGACCCCAGGAGGCCCTAAAGAGGGCTCCAGGGCCGGCGGAATGAGCGAAGCGATTAAATAATCACTTGGCGCGGCAAGCGCCGAACGCAAGTGAAGCGCCCGGACGGCGCGCGAGCAGGGTGGAACCGTGAATCACAAAAGTGCTCACAAGAGAGGCGCGCTGTCCAATACAGTATTGGCGGCAGCCGCGCGTGTTAAACAGAGGACAAGAAGGACGAGGAGAGAAGAGGAGAGGGAAGAGAAGGACGAAGAGAGAAGAGGAGAGAGTGAGGAGGAGAGAAGAGAAAAGAGGAGGAGCCGAGCGTAGGAGCGGGAGTCCCTCCGGCCGCCCTACCCCAGGCGCGGCGGGGGGGCACGGATGGTTTCCACCAGCGACGTGGCGGCGAGGTCGTAGCCCGCGACGGGCGGCCCAATGGCCACCGATGCAGGGGCGGGAGCGCAGGGCGAGAGGACGGGAGCAGGCGGCACAAGCGGCACGTTTTCCGCAAGCGGACTCTCAAGGGCCCTCGACGGCGTCGGCGAGCTCCATGACCACGGTGAACAGGGATAAGAAGACGGCAAGGCCGCAGGTGCACACCAGGCCCCTGGCACCGACGGCGCAATCGAAGAGGACGGCGCTATGCGCGAACAGGAAGCCGCAGAAGCTGAGGGTGGCGCGCGGGCGCCGAAGCGGAGGCAGCACTCGAAGACTGTGGCGACTCGATCCACGCCAGCGAATGACATCCCGCGGCGAGCAGCACTCAACGTCCGCCACCTCATCCGCAGGAGCGGCGATCTCGGTAGGAGGCGTGGAGCAAGCTGGCCACGGAGCCAGCGCAGGCGTCAGACGAGGCGAGGAAGAACCTGATGGCGAAGCACAGGAATCCGCGGCACTAGCACCAGAATCCGACTCCGACGTCGAACTCACCAGAGGCGTGAGATGTGGGGAGGAGCGAGCAGCAGCTGAACTCGCAGAACTCGCGCTGCACGCCGAGCGCGAGGAAGACGACGACGGCGAGGACGACGGACGGCGCCCAGGGCGAGGCAGAGGGGCCAGGAGAGCACGCAGGCGACAGGGCGAGGCCATCCGCATCGAGCGCACGCCCGCGAAGGCAGCACTGCGGATCGCGGGGAGGGCAAGGGGCCACTCCCTGGAGCGACGCGCCACGTTGCACATCGCCTGCGCAGCCGCCAGGAAGGAGAAGGCGAGCAGAGTAGGCCGACGCAGGCCGCACTTCACCATCGGGCCATGAGGGGGAGGGAGGGGGGGGGCGCCCCAAAGCCACCTCCAACGCGACATGCAGCCGCGGGCATCGAAGATGGTGGACAAGCGCATCACGATGATCAAGACACCCGCAAACACAACACCGCGGCCCACCCAGGTGCAAGATCCTCGAGGGGCGAGCCAACCGTCGCGCCAAGTGCGCAGGGTTGCCCAAGCCCATGAGCAGGGGCAGCGCTCGAGTGGGAGCACGATGGCGCCCCAGTCGATCTCGTCGAGGAGCTCGGGCCTGGCACCAGCAAATTTGAGCGGCCGGCGACGCAGATGATCGCGCAGAGGGGCCGCGCGCACAGCGCGAGCGCACATCGCCAGATGCGCGGCGCGTTGGGGCCGGAGACGCACGCCAGGCCCAGGGGCAAGAGCAGCATGGGCAGCAGGACGCCCACGCTCCAGAAGGCCGGCCCAGGGGCCAGGGGGCGGGGCGCCCGCAGCCGCAGCGCGCAGGTGCTCCACCAGGGCGGGCGGGCGCCAGCGAGTCGGGTAGCAGCGCCCCGAGCCGAGCATCAAGAGCACTGGCGTGGGACGAGGGCCTCCGCATGTGCCCGCGCGTCGATCCGGGCCCCCCGGCGGGAATATGACCAGCGCGGCCCGCAGCAACGAGGCAGCGTTCTAATGCGGCCGTCGAACCACCCGAGGACCACTCCATCGCTCGATCTGGGACCAAGCCTCGGCCGTGAAAGTGCCCAGCGCCACGAGGAACACCTGGGCGAGGGCGCCAAGCCCCAGCCGCGGGGCATCGGGAGGCATCCAGCAATATTGTGCGATGTAAGCTAGAGTTGCCACAATCCTTGAGTTGCACATGCTCGCGGACATCGAAGCGGGGGCAAGACCATTGCCAAGTGCACGCGCACGCAGGCGGAGCTTGGTCAGCGGGCCCTTCCAAAGCCTACTAGGGTCAACGGCATGAGCTGAGCCAGACCCCCCAGTAAAGAAGAGCCTCCACAATTTCGAACGAGGACCAGGCTGGGACCACGAGCCCGATGCAAACCCGAAGACGCTGCTGGAAACGTTCACTTGCACTTCGGCACCTTGAGGACCAGACTCGCAAATCGATCAGCCAGCGACATCACGTCGAAGACAGACTTCAAATGCTGGGCCCCACTCAGAGCCCCACCAATACCATCCGCACAAGCACGCATGAGCCCAACCCCGGACGAGTCGACGCGGAGGACCAGGTCAACGAGGAAGGGCGAGGAAGCCAATGCGAAGAGCGAGCCCGATTGCGCACACCCCTGAAGAATACCATTGCGAACCCAGTATAGGTGACGGCTCAGGCCAGCCACAACAGCAATCCCCTCAATGGCCGAGTAGAAGACGGAGACGAACGTCAGGAAGGCCGTAGGCAACTGTAGCGAGGAGAGAACAAGCATGAGGAAGTCCTGGTTCAGGGAGGGGAACGCTTGCCCGAAGTCCCTGGAGAAGAGGGTCGGGATGTCCCAGGAGTCACACTGTAGCAGCGAAAGCTCCCTGCTAGAGGCGTCGAGCTCCAAGACATCGAGGCCGAATTTCCTCTCGGCTACGAAGCCACGCTGACAGGCAGGAACCACGCGATCAAGGACAGGACGCACAGACCTATTTGCAGTCGCTGAAAGGGACTTAACATCACAGTTACGAAGGCCAAGAACGCAGACTTTGTCGGGAGCACGGGTGCACGGGCCGCTCTGGAGCTCGTCCTCATCGATGTTTTTTCGGGAAGGAGGCCTGGGCCGTCGCGCTAGCCGCGTCGAACAGCACCTGGCCCGAGGAGATCCACTCGAGACACGCCCAGAAGACCTCCAGCCCAGACGGAACAGCCTGCCAGGCCGCATAGGGGAGCCCGTCCTCACCAGTGGCTGAGTGCCTAACGCGAGCTGAGACCGACTGCATCATCTTGAACGCGGGGGGCGGGAGGTCGAGGCCACCGATGGAAGGGGGGCATCTTGTGCACGCAGGGCTCTGACAAAGACCTACCCCAAGGCTTCTCGGAGAACACGGGCGCCCAAAACGTCTGCAGGAGGGCGAGCCGATCACCGGGGGTAGCAACGGGAGGCGCATCGCCAGCATCAGTAAGAGAACCGGATCCGCGCTCGGCGCTCCAGGGCCCTCAACTGCGCACGCAGTTGCCCCGAGCCACCCTCGCTCTCACTCGTCGCAGCTCGGCGCGAGATGCTTCCACCGCCTCGCACTGCATGCGGTCAGGTCAGGCCCAAACGGATTCGGGGTGCCGCAAGTGAACAGCCTCACCAGAGCACGCGAGAGAGTCGAACGCCACCGGGTGGGAGCCGATCAACTTCCACGCAAGCTGCGAATCCTGACGCCAAAGACAGCGGGCAATCGATCGAGCGAGCTGAAGGCAGGCGCGGGGACGGTGAGGGCGGGCACGAAAGAGACGATCACGTGTTTCACGGGCAGCAGTTCGAACCAGCCCCTTGCATCGCTCGAGCCGGCGTGGAGGGGAGAGACGGCGAAGATGAGCATGCCCCACGAGAGCCTGAAGACGACCAAGGTAGAAGGGATCCTGGAAAACATGTCGGTCGATCGGCCGTTTATCCCCAGGGCGCGGCCGTCGCGGTGAGACGGCAAGAACAACTGCGGCATGGTCAGAAACCAAGGCATCTGAGACATTAGCTGCGGAGCCCACCGTATTAACCTTCAGAAAGAGTTGACACAATACCCACACAAGACAAAACATGATTATCCCGGCAAAGCAACCTAACAGCGATGTGTAGAAGCATATCTGGAAGCATTCCCCTTAAGATTCAGGTGAGAATCCAGTTGTAGAATTCTGCTGTTCTCGCAGTCGCAGTCGCAGTCGCAATGACAGTCGCAGTGGCAACGGCCTTAGGATCCAATGGAATCCTAAGGATTCCTAGGGATTCCTAAGGCATCCTTAGGCATCCTTAGGAAACCTTAGGAATCCTTGAGAATCCTGATTCCTATGGGATTCCTACGGATTCCTAAGGATTCCTAGGGAATCCTAAGGATTCCTAAGGATTCCTGATGATGCTTAACTACGCCTACGGATTCCTAAGGATGCCTACGGATTCCTAGGGATTCCTAAGGGTTCCTATGGATTCCTACGGATGCCTCAGCCTGCCTCAGTTTCAGCCTCAGCCTCAGCCTGCCTCGGCTTGCCTCAGCCTCAGCCTCAGCCTGCCTCGGCCTGAGCCTCAGCCTGCTTCAGCCTCAGCCTCAGCCTGCCTCGGCCTCAGCCTGCGTCAGCCTCAGCCTCAGCCTGCCTCAGCCTCAGCCTGCCTCAGCCTCAACCTCAGCCTCAGCCTCAGCCTCAGCCTCAGCCTGCCTCGGCTTGCCTCAGCCTCAGCCTCAGCCTGCCTCGACCTCAGCCTGCCTCAGCCTGCCTCAGCCTCCCCTTCTCCCCCCCCCTTCCCCCCCCATTCAGCCTCACCTTGTCTCAGCTTCGGCCTGCCTCGGCCTCATCCTCAGCCTCAGCCTCAGTCTCAGCCTGTCTCGGCCTGAGCCTGCCTCGGCCTCAGCCTCAGCCTGCCTCAGCCTCAGCCTGCCTCAGCCTCAGCGTCAGCCTGTCTCAACCTCAGCCTGCCTCAGCATCAGCCTCAGCCTCAACCTCAGCCTGCCTCGGCTTGCCTCGGCCTCAGCCTGCCTCGGCCTCAGCCTCAGCCTCAGCCTCAGCCTGCCTCAGCCTCAGCCTCAGCCTGCCTCAGCCTCAGTCTCAGCCTGCCTCAGCCTCAGCCTGCATCAGCCTCAGCCTGAGCCTGCCTCAGCCGCAGCTTGCCTCAGCCTCAGCCACAGCCTCAGCCTCAGCCTCAGCCTGCCTCAACTTCAGCCTCAGCCTCAGCCTGCCTCGGCTTGCCTCAGCCTCAGCCTGCCTCGGCCTCAGCCTCAGCCTCAGCCTGCCTCAGCCTCAGCGTCAGCCTCTCAGCAACAGCCTGCATCAGCCTCAGCCTCAGCCTCAGCCTGCCTCAGCCTCAGTCTCAGCCTGCCTCAGCCTCAGCCTGCCTCAGCCTCAGCCTCAGCCTGCCTTGGCCTCAGCTTGCGTCAGCCTCAACCTCAGCCTGCCTCAGCCTCAGCCTGCCTCAGCCTCGGCCTCAGCCTGCCTCGGCGTGCCTCAGCCTCAGCCTCAACCTGCCTCGACCTCAGGCTGCCTCTGCATCAGCCTGCCGTAGCTTGGGCATTCAAACTTTGGCACAGGACTGGTGTTCTGGGAGCACGAAGATCACGAAGTGGTCCACACTTGGCTCCGGGCAAACAAAATATGGTACAAGAACTGCGTTCTGGGAACACGAAGAAGACGAAGTGGCCTACAGTTGGCTCCGGGCATTCAAAATGTGGCCTGGGAATGGTGTTCTGGGACCACGGAGAGCACAAAGTGGCCTAAAGTTGGCTCCGCGCATTCAAAATGTGGCCTGGGCATGGTGTTCTGGGAACACGAAGAACATCAAGTGGCCTACAGCTGGCTCCGGGCATTCAAAATGTGGCCTGGGAATGGTGTTCTGGGAACACGAAGAAGACGAAATGGCCTACAGTTGCCTCCGGGCATTCAAAATGTGGCCTGGGAATGGTGTTCTGGGAACACGAAAAATAGGAATCCATAGGAAACTACAAGAATCTATAGGAGTCCTGGGGAGTCCCCGGATTCCCGCGGCACTCCCCGGATTCCCGCGGCACCCGGCCGGCATCTGCCCAGACCCCCCTGGGGAGTCATGATGCTCTCTTTTGACACCACTAGAAACCTATCAGTCTTCGCTGTTAGGTAAATAAACGATCGACGCAAGATCACTCGCTTTTGCGTAGAGTGGGCGAGGCGCACTCCACCACTACCAGCTCGGCGAGGGCCAGGCGCCAAATGGCCGCCTTCGCATAGTGCCGCCGAGCAGCACGACGCACGGCGGCCTGCGGCATGCGCGAGATCACCGCCTCCTCAGAGGCGAAGTTGAAATCCCCATTGACAATGACCATGCGCTGGGTCGGGCCCTGGGCCGCGAACTCACTGGCGCAGCGAATGACCCTCCCAACCGCGGACACCTGCTCGCAGGTGAGCTCATGGCTGTGGACGTTGAAGATGTCCAGCTGCACGTCACAGGCCTCCACCATCACATGAAAGACGCGGCCCGCCACCAACAGAACAGCACGACTTTGAACAGGGTGGCGCCCCAAAACCAAGTTCGGGAGGCAGCGCAGCGACTCCACCTCGCACTCGATCCTCAGACGAGTCGCCACAAAATGAGGAGTGGACCCTGATGGAAGGGGTCGACCCCGCGAACGAATTCACGAAGTTGTCCAGCATCTTGCCGAACCTCGTGCAGAGACACAATAGTGCTACCAACGTTGAGCTTCTCCAGGTACCTCCTCTCGAACGCACCTTTGGCCCCCGCCGCTTGCAAGGGAGCCCGTGCATCCCAGGTCACCACGCGTAGTGAAGGGGCAGCACTGCCAGGAACTGGCGTAGAACACTTGAAGAGCTCACCGACGTCAAATGCACCACTGAGGCTCAGCCTGGGGCGCCACAAGATGACGCGCGAGCTGCACCATATCGTTGTTCTGGAGGTTGTGCTTCTGCAGCGCGGCCGTGCCCTACCAGATCTTCGCGCGGGCGTCGCCTGGAGCCACCTCGACGCGGAGGATGCGGTCCCAGCCGATGGACAAGACCCCGCGGCCACGGTCACTGTAGAGCCGCAGATTGGGATGGGAGTCGGCGATGGACGAGCGGCAGCGACGGAGCAGCATCTCCGTCCGAATATGGCGCGGGTTCTTGTCGGGCCCCCAGCGCACGCGGGCGCGGGGGGCGCGGGGGGCGGGCCCTGGCACCTCCACAAAGCACCCCTTCCACGCGCCATCCACACGCATGCGAGAAAGAACACGCAACACTTTGCGCGAGGCCACGGCGACGAGGCCATCGAACTTGAGGTGGAAGTGTTCGCAGGGCGCCTGGCCCACGGGAGAGACCTCATACTGGTCGGCGGGGAAGCCCAACTCGCCCAGCCACTCGGAGAGAGCAGCGCAGACATGGGGCTTGGCAGTGGCACTCTGGCACATGATGGCAATGATCGTGGAGTCGACATCCCTATCGAAGCCGTGGGCGACCGCAACAGGCTCACGGGGGCGAGCCTCTGCGAGCGCAAGCTGCTCGCGAAGCTCGTGCATATGCTTCTTGAGCGCGTCCACATCACACTCCACCGACTGCAGGCGTCCACCATGTTCATGCGACGCGCCCGTACATACATCGAGCTGCTCCTGGAAACGCCGCGAGGCATCATCAACACTGCTGCGAACCACTCCCAAGATCTGTTGGTCCAGCTTGGCAAGTCGGCCCGCGAGCTCGGCGCGCAACTGGTCCACCAGGGCGAGCATTTTGCCGCTGGCGGTGGCGACGTGGTCCAACACACAAGCCTTGACCGAGTTCGCGAGCTCCTCTTTGACCCCATCCAACAGCGTCGGGAAGAGATCCATACAAACCTGTCGCACATAGTCGTCACACATAAACGCATCCTCACACTATAGATCCAATTCGTCAGCAGCAGCAGCACTCTTACGAGGAACGAACTTGCCGAAGCCGCCGACAGGGGCACCAGCAGCAGGAGCAGCACCGCGACCAGCGCCCTGGGAGCACTCCATGGGGCGACCTGCGAGGCGAACGTGGGGCAGGCATCGAGAGCGGCCACGTCCTGGGAGGAGAGCTGGGGCGCAGCGACAGCCGCCATGTCGCAACAGAAGTGAGCGATCGGAGCGACAGGAACGGGAAAAACCTCCGTTTACCCACCGCCCCGAGCGCGTTGTGCGTCGGTGAAAGATCTTGCCAGACTTCAGGAAGTCTTGCCTGCCGCGGACTAGCGGTATCCACTTTCTCCCCAGAGGAAGACAGCACCTTGAGCCAAAATGGCTACGAAGGAAAGAAGAAGAGGAGGAGGAGGAGGAGGACGAGGAGGAGGAGGAAAGAAGAGGCCGAACGCTAAAGGCACCCAGAAGTGATTCGCGACTGCGAGACCCGGTTTCTGCTCCAACTCTGCGCGCGACGCCAAGCCTGCCCTCTGCCCAAGAGAACCTCGGCCACGGCGCGCCCCAAACGGGCGCGCCGAGACACAGACCAGGGGACAAAAGGGGAAAAGGGGGACGAGGTGGAATGGGCGAGGAAGGAGGACGGGAAAGGGGTAAGGGCGAGAACGAAGGAAACGAGGGCGAGAAGGGAGGGAGGGAGAGAGAAGGGATGAGCGAGGGCGAGGGGGGGGGGCGGGAGGGCACGGGAGGCGTGGAACCGGGAGGCTGGCAGGGGAAGCGAGGCAGGGGAGGAGTGGGGCGGGAATCGGCGGCGCGCCCGCAGGGGAAGTGCGGGGGGACGGGCCCTCTCGGAAGGCTCGGAACGCCTCCGACCTTCTGAAAAGGAGAGGAGGAGGAGGAGGAGGAGGAGGAGGAGGAGGAGACACAGAAAACTTCTCAGAAGGCGCAAACGGGCTTCTGCGAAGCCCCGCAGCCCTCTGATGAGGCCTGGTCCTTCTCACTTCACTCCCCACCCCACCCCGGCACGCCGCCGAAAGAAGCAACTGGCGGGACAAGAAGGTGCTGATACCGCTACTCCCGGGGCCTCTTCAGGGGTACGTTCTGGCCAAAACTTCGAAGCGAATCCAGCCGTGGCGACGAGCAAAGGGTAGCGGTATCGGCACGTTTTCCCCTTCTGGGGAGCAGGCGAAGGAGGGCGGGCCAGACGACAAAACGAGAAGTCAGCCGCTCTCGGCACCGCTCTCGGGGCCGCCCCGCCCCGAGGCTCGCCTGGCCCGCCTGCCGGCAGGTGCGCTCCACGTCCTGGGCCTCCTGTGGGTCGAAGGTCCTCCCCTGCCCCCACTCGAGCTGGCAGGGCCTTGGGCGCCGATCGGCCCGACCTGGGCTGATCCACCCGGAGACCCCGGCGCTGCAGCTTCTCCACAGCGGGCGATTCTGCTTCGCCCTGGGCCCTGGGGGCCATCAGGGGCCGATGCGGCTCGAGCAGCGCCGCAGAAAGAGGGGGGCCTGGGCTCCGGCCGTGAATGTGTCGCGACGTTGCGTGCGTGCGTGCGTGTGTGTGTGTGTGCGTGCGTGTGCTCGCAGCGTCGGATCTCGGGGCACCCAGGCGTCCAGCGGCTCGAGAAAGGCGGAGACGGCCGATCTCGCCCTCAGCCTGGGCCTCGGGAGGCTGGCGTCGGCCTCCCGGGGAGCCTCCCAGGGAGCGCCTCTCGAGGGGCTGCTGGGGGCCTCTTGGGGGCCTCTCGGGGGCCTCGGGGGGCCCCCGGGGGCCATCGAGAGGAGACTCGGGATGCCAAGCTGGCCCGGGGGGGGGGGGCTTCCCGTCGCTCGGACGCCCATTCCCCGTGCATTGCTCGATCTCGTGCGCGGCTTTCGCACGGTGGCCCCGCCGTCCGGCTGCTCGATGGCCCCCGCCGAGGGAAAGCGCGCACGTCCGGGCGATGCCGAGGAGGGGGTCGAGAGGCCCAGGGGCCCATGCCTCGGCAGCGTCGGGCCGCTGGCCGGGAGGGTGCCAACCATCCACCCACACCGAGCTGCGCGGGGCCTGTCCTGGGCCCCAGGGGCTGTGGGCACGCTGTCCATGCCAAGCCTGAGAGGCACGCGCGCGCGGATCCTGGTGCAGAATTGGCTGGCCTGGGCCGGTGCACGTGGACGGCTGGCATCCCCCAGTCGCTGCCGCGATCCAGCCTGAAACGCGGAGCACCGCGGCTTCGCGTCGTGTCGACCCTGGCGTTGGTTCCTGACACCGCGGGGATCGTTCGACCTTTAGCGATCGGCCGATTGCGAAACGTCAGATCGTTCAACACAGACCGATTCTGGGTCGCTGGCGGCATCCAACATTGAACGCCAGCAACGGGGTCACCGCTGGTCGACACGACGCGGACCTACCGTACGGTGCGGGTGTTGGTTAAGGAATGTGCCCAGGAGGCTTCAGACACTGGAGGGTTCCTTATCTGATGAGGGCGGCAGTGATATCCATGGCCAGTCCACGATTGGAGTTCCGCTGGCTTCCCGTCCCTGGAAACCTCATCCGATGGTTCCTCATCAAATGCCCCCATCGTACCCTGCACATTCGAGGGTCTGGCCGACCGACCTCATCCAGAGCACTCGACGGATTCGCTGGATCGGCGGCCTGTTCCCGCCCCGATCGGTGGAGCATGGTCTTCTGAGGGCGCGGCCCCACCCCAGGCACGTCCACCGTGAGCTTCGGAGTCCAGAACGTCTGGCGCTGAAAGTTCTGGATCTCGTGGTGACGCTCCACACAGAACCAGAGCGTCGGGGTCTGGCACGGACCGTACGAGATGACCTTCAGGTCGCGGTAAAATTTCTGCCTGCAGTTTTCAATCAGGCTGCGCGTCAGGAACCTGGTGAACGATACCCCGATCTTCAGGTCCAGCTCCTGACGTGCATCGACGGCCATAGACATGTACTTGTTGGGTCGAACGAGCGTGTTCAACGCCCTCTTCATCTCTGGCTCAGTCAATGCGGAGAACTGTGCCCGGTAGATGTTCTCGTCCGACGGGAAGTCCTCCCGACAGATGCCTATCACCTCAAAGCCGATGTTCTCCCCCTCGCGGTCGCAGTCTAACCAGAGCACGAGGTACTCCGCCTCTTTGGAGAGTTCCTGGAGGTGCTCCACCACCTTCAGCTTGGCCGTGGTGTCCTCTATGATCTTCTCTGTCCGCGCGTGGAACAGCACAGAGGGGTCATTCCACGCACCCTGGTTGTCCTCCTTGTTGAAGTCGAGCCCGAAGACATGACCCACGACGCTCGTGGTCATGAACCTACACTTCTGCCCTGCCTGTGGGGGGACAAAAAAGGTACCCCTACCGCTACTCCGTGTCCTGGGGTGCCTTCGGAGAGAAGGAACAACGGTGGCGACGAGAGCTCTCCAGGACGAGCAGCGGCATTGGTACCAGCTACTCCTCCGAGCCTGAGGAAACCAGCCCACGTGCTCGTAGATCTGGCAGGCCCTCGACATGCCCTTCCGCATTCGCATGCGGCCTCCCGACAAGTGCTCTGCGATCATCTTGCACACACTGGGCTTCTCCGCGACCATCAGCACCCGCGGCAGATCGTCACTGTGGTCCTGCTGCGACAGCCGCTGCATGGCAAGGTGGGGGTGCAGGCTGAGGAAGAGGTAGTGGGCGTACCTAAAGGGCCAAAACGAATCGGCCCAGGGACACACAAAAATACACACAAATCCCAGGAGTTACCATATATTCTCGTGTTGTCATGATTTTCGTTTCCCCCCCACTTCCCATAGTTTCTCATATTTTCCTGGGGATCGACAATAAGTTGTGTCTGTGTGTGTTTTCCCCCTGACAAAAAAAACGGCACGAGCATAAACTGTTAGAGCTCCGCGCGGATCTCTTGGATCGGCGCTGGGCCCCCTGGCGGCGCTTCTGGGGCCGCCCCTGGCGCGGCCCGCGCGCCATGGGAGGGGGGCCCAGCGCCGATGCAAGAAATCCGCGCGGAGCTCCAACTATTTGCTGCCTTGAGTATTCGAGCACCTGTTCTGCCGCATGAGGTCCCTCTCCACCTGCCGGGGGTCCCCCTGGGCGAACCAATCCCCGCCCGCGGCCGCAGTCAGCTCCGCCCACACCTCGTCCTCGGTCTCGTCGCACTGGCCGTCGAGCGAGGCACCGAGCATAGACCACGCCTTGCTAACCCGAGACCACGCCCGTGCCCCCTCGGGGCCGCCGACGCCAGGCAGGTAGCCCAGCTTCAGGCCGCGCAGCTGCTCGCACAACTGGCCCGCCCTCGGCTCTGGCAGGAGCCCCTGCCCCGACAGCAGCTGCCTCACCTCCTCCGGCCGCGCGCCCCTTCCGGCGGGGGCCCGCTGCTCCTGGTAGCCGCCCTGCGACCACACCCGGCGCTCGCCATTGGGGGCCTTGGGCCGGCTTCAAGCCGTTTCGGGCTCGTCTTGGGCCGTCCTCGAGGCATCTGGGGGCCATCCTGGGCTCACTTTGGGGGCGTGCTGGCGGTGTCGGGAGCCATCTGTTGGGAAAGGTCTCGGGGCACCAGCTCGCTTTCCCCTTCTGGGACCCCGCCTTGGGGCTGTCTTGGGGGCCGCGCCGCCGCCCTCGCGCGGAGCCCAGGAGGTGGTGTCCCGCGATGCCTCGCTGCCCACTCGGGCACGGCGAGGCCACCCGCTTCCGCGACGCGGGCCCCGCCCCTGGTGGCGACACCCCGCAGACGGCCAGGGAGGGGGCGCCTCGAGCGTGGGCAGGAAGGAGCGGCCAGGCCGCCCCTGACCCGCCCCCCCCCCCCTGGCACGCCCCTGCCCTCCTCCCCCTGGAAGGACTGCAGCCGTCGTGCTGCCCCCAGGAGCGCTGAACAGCGAACGAAGGGGATTCCCTGGCCACGGCGAGCCGCGGCCACGAGCAGGTCCACCGGCCTAAAATCCGAGGAGCTACCCGAAGACCGCAGCCCCTCCTAAGCCCAACGTGGTCTTTGTTTCAGCGTTTTGACTGTACGGTTGGGGGCGGGATCGCCCTCTGACGACTCGATGTCTCCGAATCGCTGGCGCCTGGAGCTCTATACCACATCTTCTGGACCAATTTCTCTCATCCCTGGCGGCCCCGGGGGCCAGCAACTGGTCCTGCAGACTCCAGAGGCCCAGCTGGAAATAAACCAGCCGAGTCCTTCTTTTGTTCAGCAAGCCGGGTCCGAGGTCTTCAAAGGGTCCCCAGAGGTCCCCGCAGAGGCATCCGGAGCCCTGCGGAAGCGCGCGGAGCCCGAAAAGGCCCACATCCAAAGCGAGGGCCAGAGACATTCGGAAACGTGACGCTGGAGGTCTGGCAGGGGCTGCCGCCTTGGGAGAAGGTAGGGACAGGTGCGGGCGGTGCAAGCGCGGGAGTAAAGTCCGCCGGCCCCCTTGTGGGGCCACCAGGCTGTAGGCCGAAGGTTCGCAGTTTCCTGTACCAGCTGCAGCTTCCAGTTTCCACTGTTACAGTTCTGCTTCTTGCTGCTTACTGTTCCTTGTTGATGGACCGCGCAAGGGGGGGGAGGCCCAAACGGGCAGGTTTAACACGCCCTGAGCGTGTGCTCTGAATTGCTGGGGTGGGTAAAAATTAACACCACTCACGCAGATCGGCGGGGTCAGGGTCCGAAAACACACGTGATTTGCCACATTTCTGAAATTCGGCGGCACCCCTCACGCAGATCCGTAGGGTCAGAGTCCAAAAACACAAGGGATTTGCCAAATTTCTGAAATTCGGTGGCACCCCTCATGCAGATCGGCGGGGTCAGGGTCCAAAAACACATGGGATTCGCCACATTTCTAAAATTTGCTGGCACCGCTCACGCAGATCGGCGGGGTGAGGGTCCAAAAACACACGTGATTTGCCACATTTCTGACATTCGGTGGCACCCCTCACGCAGATCCGTAGGGTCAGAGTCCAAAAACACAAGGGATTTGCCAAATTTCTGAAATTCGGTGGCACCCCTCATGCAGATCGGCGGGGTCAGGGTCCAAAAACACATGGGATTCGCCACATTTCTAAAATTTGCTGGCACCGCTCACGCAGATCGGCGGGGTGAGGGTCCAAAAACACACGGGATTTGCCACATTTCTGACATTCGGTGGCACCCCTCACGCAGATCGGCGGGGTCAGGGTGCAAAATCACATGGGATTTGCCACATTTTTAAAATTCGGCGGCACCCCTCACGCAGATCGGCGGGGTCAGGGTACACAAACATACAGAATTTGCAACATGTTTGAAATTCGGCGGCAACCCCTCACGCAGATCGGCGGCCTCAGGGTACAAAAACACACATGATTTGCCACATTTCTGAAATTCGGCGGCACCCCTCACGCAGATCGGCGGGGTCAGGGTCCAAATACAAACGGGATTTGCCACATTTCTGACATTCGGTGGCACCCCTCATGCAGATCGACAGGGTGAGGGTCCAAAAACACACGTGATTTGCCACATTTCTGACATTCGGTGGCACCCCTCACGCAGATCCGTAGGGTCAGAGTCCAAAAACACAAGGGATTTGCTACATTTCTGAAATTCGGTGGCACCCCTCACGCAGATCCGTAAGGTCAGGGTCGAAAAAAATATCCTGGCGAAAGACCCAACCATATGCAAACGTGAATACCGCAGGGCAGGTGGGACGAAGCAAAAAGAATTCCCAATGTGGCCACGAACCGTGTGAGGGGTGCGCCACACTGGGGCGGGGCCGCCATGCGAACCCTGCCACTGAGGCCTTCGGTGGAGCTCTCTATGTCCCTGCGGGGCCACGAACCGTGTGAGGGGTGCGCCAATATGGGGCGGGGCCGCCATGCGAACCCTGCCACTGGGGCCTTCGGTGGAGCTCCCTATGGGGCCACGAACCGTGTGAGGGGTGCGCCAAAATGAGGCGGGGCCGCCATGCGAACCCTGCCACTGGGGCCTTCGGTGGAGCTCCCTATGGGGCCACGAACCGTGTGAGGGGTGCGCCAAAATGAGGCGGGGCCGCCATGCGAACCCTGCCACTGGGGCCTTCGGTGGAGCTCCCTATGGGGCCACGAACCGTGTGAGGGGTGCGCCAAAATGAGGCGGGGCCGCCATGCGAACCCTGCCACTGGGGCCTTCGGTGGAGCTCCCTATGGGGTCACGAACCGTGTGAGGGGTGCGCCAAAATGAGGCGGGGCCGCCATGCGAACCCTGCCACTGGGGCCTTCGGTGGAGCTCCCTATGGGGCCACGAACCGTGTGAGGGGTGCGCCAAAATGGGCGGGGCCGCCATGCGAACCCTGCCACTGGGGCCTTCGGTGGAGCTCCCTATGGGGCCACGAACCGTGTGAGGGGTGCGCCAAAATGGGCGGGGCCGCCATGCGAACCCTGCCACTGGGGCCTTCGGTGGAGCTCCCTATGGGGCCACGATCCGTGTGAGGGGTGCGCCAAAATGAGGCGGGGCCGCCATGCGAACCCCGCCACTGGGGCTTCGGTGGATGCGCCAAAATGGGGCGGGGCCGCCATGCGAACCCTGCCACTGAAGCCTTTAGTGGAGCTCCCTATGGGGCCACGAACCGTGTGAGGGGTGCGCCAAAATGGGCGGGGCCGCCATGCGAACCCTGCCACTGGGGCCTTCGGTGGAGCTCCCTATGGGGCCACGAACCGTGTGATTGGTGTGCCGAAATAGAGACATGCGGAGGGTGATGCTGATGATGACGCCGAATATCATGGTGATGTTGATGATGACGATGATGATGATGACGATGATGATGATGATGGCAGGAGGGAGGGGGCAGCGGGAGGAGGAGAAGGAGGGAACGCGGGGCACCGTCTCTTCAAAACGAGGACCCAACACCACAGGATGGTTGGGAACAAACAGGTCCCGACACTGCTTCACGGCGGCGCCAAGACCTCAAGATTTAGCCTTTGCATCTCCCATTATCCGAGACAGGGGGCCGGCGACATGGGGCGAAGCCCTTACGGATATAGACTTCGGCACTGCTCGCAGAGGCGAGAGCGGGCAGCGCGAGGGCTCGGGGCCCCTCCGTGGGCCCCAGGTCTGGTCGAGGTCCTCGCGTTCGCCCGACACGTCGCTGCCGAGACGCCCGAAATTTCGGCCAGCGCCCCACCTTGCCGCCCTTGCCGCCGCCGCCCTTGCCGCCGCCGCCGCCCTTCGGAGCTCCCATGGCGCCCCGGGGCGTCGCGCCGCTCGGCGGCAGGCCCGTGCCAGACGGCTGCATTTACGGGCGGCGACGATGACGACCCTTGCGAGAAGAGGAACGGCGCTGCGCAACAGAATGGTAAGCACGATCGATTTGGGAGTTGGGCGTGTCGCCAGTCGGGTGGGGGAGGGGGGGTATACTAAGAAGGAGCAGTGGTCAAGCCCTCACCAAAGGTAAAAAGTGGAAGAGGAAATACTATAAACCACCTGCCCCCAGAAGGCTGGTGGGTTTCTTGGCCCCCAATCGCTAAACGATTGGTCCAAAACGCCATCACGCCCTCCTGACTGCCCAAGAAGCTTCCAAGACGTTCCCAGAAGCCTCCAAGACACTCCCAGGAGGGCCCCAGGAGGCAAAATTCATTGATGTCCCTTCGGTGTGTAAAAGAAAATATAGCCGGAGTGCAGTATCCCAAAACAGGGTTTTTTAACCCACTGCGGTTTCCAAGGTCGAATGCGTGCCCGTCCAGTGCGGGCTGGCATGGCATGTTAGAACATGATGACATGATGTTTGCACATGAGATGATTGCACATGATAACATGATGCCTGCTCCCTCATCCACATCATCATCATCCTTCTCCCTTCCATCTCCTCCTCCTTCTCGTCCTCCTCCTCCTCCTCCTCCTCCACCTCCTCTTCATCCCGAACGGCATCTCGGAGCCCAGAGTTGCGAGGATGTCTCCAGCGCAACGGGCTGGACCACCTCGCGCGCGGCATCTCGGACCCCAGAGTTGCGACGATGTCTCGGGCGAAACGTGCTGCGAGGAAGTCTCAGGCAAAACGGGCGGGACCACCTCGAGCGCGGCGTCTCAGAGCTCCGAGTTGCGAGGGCCTCCTGGGGCCTCCTGGGGCCTCCAGGGGACCTCCTGGGGCTTCCTCCTGGGCCTCCTGTGGCCTCCTGGACCCCGCCTGGGGCTTCCTGAAGCTTCTGGGGCTCCCAGGGGGGGATATCTAACAGGTGGCCGTCTGGGCCCCCCAAAATGCGCGGGGACCACGAAAGCAGGAAAAAACAACGAATCGACACCGGATGTGTATTAACTTGACACGTTCTGAAGGGGCCCTGCTGGGGCCTCCTGGGAGCCTCCTGGGAATCTCATGGGGACCCCTGGGGCCTGTCCTGGGCGTCCTGCGGCCTCCTGAAGCTCTCTGGGGCCTCCTGGGGCTCCCAGGGTCCCACGGGGGATATGTAACATGTGGTCTTCTGGGCCCCCAGGCTGGACCACCTCTTGCGCGGCATCTGAGAGCTCAGAGTTGCGAGAATGTCTCAGGCGAAACGGGCCCGACCACCTTGCGCAAGGCATCTCAGAGCTCAGAGTTGCGAGGATATCTCAGGCGAGACGGGCCGGACCACCTCGCGCAGGGCATATCAGAGCTCAGAGCTGCGAGGATGTCTCAGGCGAAACGGGCTGGACCACCTCTTGCACGGCATCTCAGAACTCAGAGTTGCGAGGATGTCTCAGGCGAAATGGGCTGGACCACCTCTTGCGCGGCCCCTCAGAACTCAGAGTTTCGAGGATGTCTCAGGCGAAACGGGCTAAACCACCTCGCGCGCGGCATCTCAGAGCTCAGAGGTTGGAGGATGTCTCAGGCGATACGGGCCGGACCACCTCTCGCGCGGCATCTCGGAATGCAAAAGTGCGAGGATGTCTTAAATGAAACGGGCCAGACCACGTGGCGCGCGGCATCTCCGAAGTCAGAGTTGTGAGGATGTCTCAAGCGAAACGGGCCGGACCACCACTCGCGCGGCATCAGAGAGCGCAGAGTTGCGAGGATGTCTCAGGCAAAACGGGGCCGGACCACCTCGCTCACGGCATATCAGGGCTCAGAGTTTTGAGGATGTGTCATGCGAAACGGGCCGGACCACCTCTTGCGCGGCATCTCGGAGCCCAGAGTTTCGAGGATGTCTCAGGCGAAATGGGCTGGACCACCTCTTGCGCGGCATCTCAGAACTCAGAGTTGCGAGGATGTCTCAGGCGAAATGGGCTGGACCACCTCGCGCACGGCACCTCAGAGCTCAGAGTTTGGAGAATGTCTCAGGCGATACGGGCTGGACCACCTCGCGCGCGGCATCTCAGAGCTCAGAATTTCACAGAGCTCAGAGTTGCGAGGACGTCTCGGGCGAAACGGGCCGGACCACCTCTCGCGCGGCATCTGGGAGCTCAGAGTTTCGAGAATGTCTCAGGCGAAACGGGCCCGACCACCTCTTGCGCGGCATCTGGGAACTCAGAGTTTGGAGGATGTCTCACGCGAAACGCCCAATCCTGGACAACTCAGAAACGAGAGTTGCGAGGATGTCTCAGGCGAAACGGCCCGGACCACCAATTTTTTTTCAGGACGTCTCTGCTTTGACTTCCCTCGGCCGGAGTTAGCTTCTATCACAACAGCACCCCGTTCAGCAAGCTGTTTGGGGAATTTGGCGTTATCGCCTTTTCCGCTTCCCGCCCGTCCAAGACCGCCCAAGAGGCCCCCAAGATCGCCCCAAGACGGCCCAAGAGGCCTCCAAGATGGCCCCAAAACGGCCCACGAGGACCCCAAGACAGCCCAGAACACCTCCAAGACGGCCCAAGAGGCCCCCAAGACGGCTCCAAGAGCGCGCCCAGAGGGAGGACCCGAATGCACATTTCAAGCCCTCGGCCCCTAACGGCCCCTAACGGCCCCCAAGGGCCCCAAGAGGTTCTCAAGAGGCCCCAAGAGGCCAACAAGTGGTCCCCAGGAAACCCGAAGAGGCCTCCAAGAGGCTCCCAACAGGCTTCCAACCGGCCCCAAGAGGCGCTCAAGAAAATCCCCCAAGAGGCTCCACGAGGCCGCAAAAACTCCTCCCCAGAGGCTCCCGAGTGGCCTTCCGAAGAGACCCCAAGAAACATCCCTGAGGACTCTGGCCCACGTCAACATTGTCGTCGTCGTCGCCGCCGCCGCCGCTGTCGTCGTAGTCGCCCCCCTTAAAACAGGTCGGCGGCACAGGCCGCAAGGCCTTCGCAACCGTGGTCCTCAGTAGTTGGTCGTCCTCGCGATCCGTCAAAAAATTCGAGCCCCGCGGTTGTTCTCGGCTTCGTAGCGGCCACGGCTGTCTTTGCGCGTCTAGTAGGTCCCTTGTCCTGGCGGCGCTCCACGTCTCGCAGGGTAGCCCGGCCTGCGATTAGTGCTGGCGCTCTGGCGCCGCGTCTCTCTTGTACCTAGAAAGAGACCGTCTCCCAGATGGCGAGGTGACCTTTGGTGGCGTGGTTTGCGATGTCGGTGGATGGGACATGCGCATGAATGCTGCCTGGTGGTTGAAGGTGTTCTGTCTACTCTTGTAGATACCCTTCTCGGCGATGCCAGCTGCGCAAGTGGGGCACGAATCGAGTGGTCGCGCAGGTCGGGTTTCGCATCGAGGGGTACGACAAGCGGTATCCGACCTCGGGTGGCGCCATGGTCCTTGTCGTAGTCTGGCGGAACGTCTGTTTTGTAGCTCGCCAGGTCGGCGCGGTCGGCTGGCCTCTTCGATCTGGGATTTGCTCGTTGGGTGGCCAGCATAGCCCGGTGTTCTGATCGGTGGTCTCGCCAAGCAGCTCCGGGGCCTCTTTCGCCCGCGGTTCTGCGCAAGGGGGCGTCGCCTGTAGATGTTGGACTAGCTGGGCGCACGCGTGGCATCCACGACTGCGCGTTCTGCAACACGTACTGGGCGCCTATCTGGTCGGGCGTATTCCAGCGGCATAAGCATCGCATGAGCATGCCGCGTGCATGAGGATCGTTGATTCGACCCCTATCCCCATGGGCGTGGCCAGGGCTTCACTGGCCGATTTACCTCCCTGGATGGGGATATAGGCCGTGTCTTTCGGGTTTCGAGGGGTATATCCCAGCTGGGATGGTAAAATGGTGGGGGTCTGAATGGGGACGGGGATGGGGACAAAGATCGTTGAAACGATACCGAGATGCACTGACACGGGCCAGCGCACAGCTCGGTTAGCTGGGGCCGCGTCGCGAACCTCAGCCGGCCACGAAGCAGCTCCCAAGCCCGCGTCGGCGGAGGGCGGAGAGGGCAGAAGGGGCCCCACCTGGCACGTGAGCCTCGACCCCCCGTTGCGTGGGCCCCGAGGAGATCGGCCGATGCCTCCGCCAGCGCCCACGCGATTCGGGGGGGGATGGATTCGGGCCCTGGGGGCACTCAACTCTGGTCGCTGGGCCCTCCAAAGTGGATCTGCGTCGGAGAAATGCCCCCGAGGTTGGGCGGGGGTCGAAACGGCGAGCCCTCTGGGTGCTGCTGCTAGCTCGCGCGGTCGCCGCACTTCGGCGGCCAGGTCAGGCGGTGGGCGCCTGGACCCTTACTCAAGATTGCGTTGACTTGCGGCTCGTATGTTTCTTCCCGATGCTCGAGATTGAAATCAATCGGTGGGCTGCCTACGCCAGCCGTGGCACCTCCTTGCGGCGACCCCAAACTGCCGCGAGAGCTGAGGCACTGCCGAAGAGGGGAAGGAGGGAGGAGGGGTAGGAGGAGGAAGGAGGGGGAGGAGGGATAGGGGGCAGGGGGAGGAGGAGGAGGAGGAGGAGGAGGAGGAGGAGGAGGAGGAGGAGGAGGAGGAGGAGGAGGCGGAGGAGGAGGAGGAGGAGGGAGGAGGGAGTGAGAGAAGGACAAGCTGGATGTGCTCGCGCCATTTCTGACATCCCACGCCTCGCACCCATCCCTTCCCATTGCGCTGACTTGTCGATCCACTTGTGTATATGCATTACACGTAGATGTACATATAAGAGAGACAGAGAGAGAGAGAGAGAAAGAGAGCATGATCCACCGCCGCTTTACTGTGGAAAATTCCCCCCCCTCTTCCTCCGGAACCTGGGGGTCCCCCCTCCAAAAATCCCCCCCTTACCCTGCTGGAACCCCCCCCCTTCCCCCGGCAAAACCCCCCCCTCCCCTAACCCCCCCCCCCTCCGGAAAACCAGGGGGGGGTCACTTCAGGTTCGAACCCCAAAAAAGAAACCAGAGGGGGGTCACTACCGGTTCGAACCCCTCCCCCCCCCTCCAGAAAACCAGGGGGGGTCACTACCGGTTCGAACCCCGCTCCCCCCCCCCCTCCGGAAAACCGAGGGGGGTCACCACCGGTTGGTTCGAACCCCTCACCCCCCCCAGCCTCACCGCCAGCAAACGACTCCCGGGTCCCTACCACCGTCCGCACCACATCCCCCACTGCTGTCCCCAGCACCACTGTCCTCACCACCACTGTCCACACTGTTCCCACCACCGTCCCCACTGTCCCCACCAGTGCCCCCACCACTGTCGCACTGTCCCCACTGTCCCCACCACTGTTCCCACCATGGTTCCACTCTCCCCACTTTCTCCACGGCCCCAACCACTGTCCCACTGTCCCCACTGTCCCACTGTCCCACTGTCCCCGCCGCTGTCCCACTGAGCTGTCCCACTGTTCCCACCACTGTCCCCACTGTCCCCACCACTGTCCCCACTGTGCCTCTGTCCCATTGTCCCACCGCCGTCCTCGCCACAACCCTCACCACTGTCCCCACCACCACTGCACCCTCCACTGCCCTCTGTTTCCACCACATTCCCACTGTCCCCACACCACTGTCCCCACCAGCACCGTCCCCAACACTGTCCCAATGTCCCCACTGTTCCCACCATTGTCCCCGCTGTCCCCACCAGTGCCCCTACCAGTGTCTCACTGTCCCCACTCTCCCCACCATTGTCCCACCACGGTCCCACTTTCCCCACTTTCCCCACGGTCCCCACCATCGTCCCACTGTCCCCACTGTACCCACCACTGTCCCACTGTCCCCGCCGCTGTCCCACTGTGCTGTCCCACCGTCCCCACTGTCCCCATCACTGTCCCACTGTCCCCACTGTCCCCACCACTTTCCCCACTGTACTACTGTCCCACCACTGTCCTCACCACGACCTTCACCACTGTCCCCACCACAACCGTCCACACCACTGTCCCACTGTCCCCACCACTGTCCCGCTGTCCCCTCACCGCTGTCCCCACCACCACCGTCCCCACCACTGTCCGCACCACTGTCCCACTGCCCCCGCACCACTGTCCCCACCACCACCGTTCCCACCACTGTCCCAGCACCCCCACCATTGTCCAACTGTCCCGAGGAACGGGAATCGTTTGCCGGCGGCGAGGGGGGGGGGGAGGGGGGTTCGAACCGGTAGTGACCCCCCCCCCCCGGTTTGCGAGGGGGGGGGGGGCTCGAACCGGTAGTGACCCCCCCCCTTTTCATGATGGACTGGGGGGGGAGGGGTTCGAACTGGTAGTGACCCCCCCCCGGTTTTCGAGGGGGGGGGGACGGGTTGGGAACCCCCCCCGGTTTTCCGCCAGCAGCGGCAGAACACGCTCTTTCACATATAAAAATGTACGTACATAACTATAGAGATACTAGAACCACGCGCGCTTCGCGCGCTTAGATTCTGGCTAGGCATATGCACAAGTTTCGTTGTGATACCAAGGAGTGAGAGAAAGTTGCAGTAGATGCCAATGATCCTCATTTACCGAGGGTTAACTGGGGACTGATTGAGGACGGGACATCGTGTTCTCCAACTCCCTGCCCCTCGTCACCATCGCCCGTCTCGATGAGAAGCAGCAACAGCAACAGCAGACGATCAGTGTCGACAGAGGGGAGGAGCAGGAGCAGCAGGAGTAGGTTGCGCAGGAATCCACCAACACCGATCCTGGCGAGGCCAATCGGGCCATCTTTGGTTTGTCTGGGAGGCTTCTTGGACCGTCCGAGGCTGTCGTACGCCCGACCCCCAGCGTGGCTGGGTTGTGGGTCAGAGCTCTCTTGGATGCCTGCTGGAGTCCCTTGGGGAGGCTCTTGGGAGTCTCCTGGTGGTAATTTTGAAAATCTCTGGGGCCTTTGGGAGGCCGCTTACGGGACTTGTGGGGTCTCTTTGGGCCCGTTGGGGCCTCTGGGGCCAGCTGGCGGTCTCAGGGGATCTTTCGGGCCGTCTTAAGGCCCTCTGGAGGCGCTCATGGGGCCCTCTTGGGCGCCTCTTGGGCCGTCTTGGAGTTCTCTTGGGCTGTCTTGGGGCGCTCTGGCGAAGAGGCCCCGAGCAGGCCCAAGGAGAAAACCAAAGGAAAATCCGCCGGCCCCCTTGCAGGGTCATCAGGCTGCGAAGATTAGGCTTGCAGCTCTTGCAGCTTCCAGTTTCCACTGTTACAGTCCTGCTTTCTGCTTCCTTACTGCTAATTGCTGCTGAACGCGCGAGGGGGGGAGCCGAAAAGCGTCCTGGTTAGAGTCCCCGAATCTCGTTGTCTGAATTCCCGGGAGGACGTGGGACATGTAAAAATACATAATATTGGGCAGACGTGGCCGCTGTTAGGATTGACAAAGCGAGCTTCCTATATACATACATATATGTATATATATGTATACACGATGTTCCATAGGGAATGTGTGTCTTCTTGTCCTTAGGGGGCCTTCTCGGCGGCCTCTTGGACCGTCTTGGGGGAGTCCCTTTGGGCCTTCTTGGGCCGTCTGGCGGCCCATTTCAGCCGTCCAGGGTTCCTCTTGGCATGTCATGAGGAGCTGAGCCCGTCTTGGGGCCCTCGTAGGGCCATCTCCGACCATGTAGGATCATCTGGTGGCCCCCTCGGGCCCCCTGGGGAATCTCTGGGGCTGTTTTGGAGTTCTTTTGTGCTGCTCGACGCTCTCTTGAGGCCGTCTTGGGGCCCTCTTGGGGGCCTCTTGGGCCGTCTGGGCCCGAGTTGGGCAGCCTTTGGGGCTGACGTGGATGCCGATAGGACAAAATTAGCCTGGCGAAGAACCCAACCATATGCTGTTGTCAGTACCGCAGCTGTGGGTTTCATCTTCAGTGGAACTCCCCATAGGACCACGGAACGTGGGAGGGGTGTGCCGAGATGGGTGCCACTGGGGCGTTCGGTGAAGCTCCCTATGGGGACATGAAACACGAGCGGGGCGTGCCGACATGGGTGGCGGAAACGCATGTGAGGGCCGCCACTGGGGCCTCCAGTGAAGCTCCCTATGGGGCCCCGAAACATGCGGGGGGCGTGCCAGGATGGGTGGCGGAGACGCATGTAAGTGCCACTACTGGGGCCTTCGGTGGAGCTCCCTATGGGGCCACGAAGCGTGTGAGGGGTGTACTGGGATGTGTGGCGGGGACGCATGTGAGCGCCGCCACTGGGGCCTTCGGTGCAGCTCCCTATGGGGCCACGAAACCTGTGAGGGGTGTGCCGACTTGGGTGCAGGTGACGCATGCGGACGGTGCCACTGGGACCTTCGGTGGAGCTCCCTATGGGGCCACGAAACCTGTGAGGGGCGTGCCGGGATGGGTGGCGGGGACGCATGTGAGCGCGGCCACTGAGGCCTTCGGTGGAGCTCCCTATGGGGCCACGGAACGTGTGAGGGGCGTGCCGGGATGGGTGGCGGGGACGCATGTGAGCGTGGCCACTGGGGCCTTCGGTGGAGCTCCCTATGAGGCCACGAAACGTGTGAGGGGTGTGCCGAATTGGGTGGGTGTGGGTGACGCATGTGACCGCCGCCACTGGGGCCTCCGGTGGAGCTCCCTATGGGGCCACGAAACGCGTGAGGGGTGTGCCGAAGTGGGTGTGCGGGACGCATGCGCATGTGAGCGCCGCCACTGGGGCCATCGGTGGAGCTCCCTATGGGGCCACGGAACGTGTGAGGGGTGTGCCGAAATGGGTGTGCGGGACGCATGCGGGCGGCAGCGCTGGGGCCGTCGGTGGAGCTCCCTATGGGGCCACGAAACGTGTGAGGGGTGTTCCGAAGTGGGTGTGCGGGACGCATGCGGGCGGCAGCACTGGGGCCTTCGGTGGAGCTCCCTATGGGGCCACGAAACGTGTGAGGGGTGTGCCGAAATGGGGTGGTGGGAGGAGGGAGGGGGCAGCGGGAAAGGAAGGAACGCAGGGCGACGTCTCTTCAAAACGAGGACCCAACACCACAGGATGGTTGGGAAAAACAAATATCGGAAATGTGTGTTTTCCTATGGGAGATGCTGTTTTTGTTGCCCTTGTGGGGCCTTATCGGCGGCCTCCTGGACCATCTTGAGGGAATCCTTGTGAGCCTTTTTGGGCCCGTCCTTGACTCATCAAGCCTACCACGTCTCATAGTACGACCGTGGCCATGGGGGATTTCAACGCCAAAATACTGCAGCAGAGTACGGGGGAAGACAACGTCATTGGCAAGCACGTCTTCTTGGCGAGCCCTCCAAAGAAGACTCCGACATGTATCACGAATAGACAATTGCTTGTGGAGTGTTGTATCGCAACAGACATGGTCATTGTCAACACTTTCTTTGACCTCCCAAATGAGAAGTTGGTAACTTACCGCGACTTGGGGACAAAGCACACAGACCCTATTACGCCGGATCGTTTCGCACAAATTGACCACGTTCTGTGTCACGGTTCTTGCGTTCCATTGGTATCATCATGTCAAGTATGCCGGGATGCAGCGCTCAACAGCCATCACTACTTGCTCTTGGTCGACCTGGCCATCAACTTCTCCACGAAGGCTGACCTTCGCCAACCTCGAAAAGATATTTCTTATCTGAGCGACTCCAGGGTGGCTTCAACATTTACTTCAACATTTTATGACACATGGAGAGCTGCAGACGACGTCGAAAACCTAGACTCTATGGCAGCAAATTTGGAGATTGCACTCGCGACGGCTGCAACGACCCTGCCGGCACGGGCTGCCACTGCGAAGCGCCCATGGATATCTCAGACCACTCTTGACTTAATTGACAGGAGAAACTCTTACAGACATTGTCAAGACTATTACAATGAACAGTTGCTGAACAGAGCAATTCGCCGAGCAGGCCGGGAAGACAAACGAATGTGGATGGACAAATATTTGGTGGGAGGGAGTTGGGAGGCAGTGCACAAACTACGCAGGCCTGCTGCTACCAAACACGCGGGCGCGAAAGACTTGGATGGGCACCTTACCGACACCGCTGCACGACCCGACGCTTTGGCGGATTATTTTGAAAAGATTCAGTGGCAGGTACGTTTCCCAGAGCTGACACCATCTTCGACACGAGCTTTAGGGCCGACCCTCAGCGTGAACACGACCACCTTCACCAAGCTGGAACTGCAGACGGTCCTTCGTAAAATGAAAAGCCGGAAAGCAGCAGGACCTGATGATATCCCGCCAGAATTTTGGAAAGCTGTTGGTCAAAACGATTACGCATGCGAAGCCTTACTGCAGATGTGCGTCAAATGCTGGGAACAGAAAGGCTTGCCGAAAGCATGGAGAACAGCGAACGTGTCCCTCCTTTTCAAGAAGGGCGACGCCACGCTCCCCAGCAACTACCGCCCCATCTCCTTGTTAGCTGTGGGGTACAAGGCTTTGGCAACAATGATACACAACCGGCTAGTGCAAGGAGGAGCCGAAGGACGCATGCGAGAATCCCAGTTCGGCTTCCGTCCAAAGCGTGGTACATCAGACGCCCTCATGCTTATCAGGAGGATGGTGGACGCAGCGTATCAAAACAAAGGAGATGTAATCATACTGGTGTTGCTGGATTGGGCAAAAGCTTTCGACCGCCTCAAGCCGGACTGTCTTTGCAAAGCCCTCGAACGCTTCGGCGTCCCATCCCCTATGGTGGACATGATCAGAGGCATCTATTCAGAGCGGTTTTTCACCATCGTGGACCATTGTGGGCGCTCCAGTGAAAGGCAACAACGCTCAGGCATCGCTCAGGGGTGCCCCTTGTCACCATACCTTTTTGTGGCAGTACAAAGTGTCATGCTGCACGACGCCTTTACTCCTCTGGCTCTGGAAAGCGAGCCCGACTATATTGTTACCCGTGATATCCTCTACGCTGACGACACTTTGCTTGTATCCAAACATATATCCAATTTACATATTATGTTGGAGGCGATCATTCTGGAAGGGCGAAAATATGGCATGGAAATGAATTGGGACAAGACGGTACAAATCCAAGTCGGATGTGCAGATACGATTAGAATGCCCACGGGCGAGCCGGTGAAGAACGTCAGGGACGCCGTCTACTTGGGTGGGATCGTGTCTTGCGATGGGCGGGCAAAGCATGAGTTATCCCGCCGCATTGGCGAAAGCACGAACACATTCAAGCAGCTACAGAAACTTTGGGCGCACGCAGCAATTGGTAAAAGCAGAAAGCTTGACATATATTCCAGTTGTGTGGTCAGCAAGCTTCTATACTCTTTAGATTCCTTGTGGCTTCTCAAGGCGGACAGAGATCGTTTAGACGCTTTTCATTGCAGGTGCTTACGACAAATCATGGGTATCCCGCATTCGTATTATTCGCGCATTTCTAACGCAACAGTGTTGGAGAGGGCAGGCTCCAAACCATTATCGCAGATATTACACGACAAGCAAGTCAGCCTGTACCGAAAAGTCGCAGCGCAGCCAGGCCATTCCCTGGTGAAGCAGCTCGTATGCGAAGCAGACGGTACCCCAAAGGACTGGGCTCTTCGCCGGCGCAGAGGCCGCCCAAGACAGCAGTGGGCACACGAAGTGTACGCGATGAGGCTTCTTCACGCATGAAAGCAGGCCGTTGCGTCACACCATCGTTTTCGCAGCGCGTTTGGCGGACTGCTTCCGGGACGCGTTTGGCGTACCTCCATAACTTTTTAGTCATCTCTCTGCCTACGCGTCTTCATGATGCACGGCTTGCTTGCTTGCTTGCTGGGGGCCCATTTCGGCCGTTCCGGGTCCCTCTTCGCCCGTCATGGGGAGCTGAGCCCGTCTTGGAGCTCTCTTGGGGCTCTCTCCGACCATGTAGGGATCCTCCGGTGGCCCCCTCGGAGCCCCCAGGGTACTATTTTGGGCCGTCTTGGAGCTCTGTTGCCCTTCTGGAAGCTCTCTTCAGGCCGTCTTGGGGCTATCCTGGGGGCCTCTTGGGCCGTCCAGGGCCCATTTGGGACTGTCGCGGCCGCTGTTAATACTGACAAGCGAACATCTCGGAAATATAAGCTTTTTCATAGCAAAAGCTTGAGTATTGCCCTTGGGGGGCCTTCTCGGCGGCCTTTTGGACCGTCTTGAGTGCCTTTTGTGGCCGTCTAGGAACAGTCTTGGGCTGTCTTCGAGCGCTCGTGGCCCGTCTGGAGACCATCTCACTGCGCTCTTCAGCCATCTTCCAGACAACCTGGGGCGCTTTGGGAGCCTCTTGGGACAACTTGGGAGCCTCTCGGGGCGTCCGGGGCCCCTTCTGGACCCTCTTGGAGCCCTCAAGGCCGCCCCGGACCTCCATGCAAACCAGAAGCGCCGATTCTGGGCCCTCGCCTGGCCTACATACATACCTACATACCTACCTACCTACCTACCTACCTACCTAACTACCTACCTACCTACCTACCTACCTACCTACATACATACATACATACATACATACATGCATGCATGCATGCATGCATGCATGCATACATACATAGATACATACATACACATACATACATACATACATACATACATACATACATACATACATACGTGCATGCATGCATGCATACATACATACTTGCATACATACACACATACATACATGCATGCATGCATGCATGCATGCATGCATGCATACATACCTTCATACATGCATGCATGCATGCATACATACATGCATGCACGTATACATGCATGCATGCATGCATACATACATGCATACGCACGTACGTACGTACATACATGCATGCATGCATGCATGTGTATGGACATACGTACGTGCACACATCTGTACATATATTCTATATATATATATATATATATATATATGCAAACATCCATGTATACAGAATACGTACATACACACATACATACATACATGCATGCATGCAGACAGACAGACATGCAGCATACATTCACACATTCATGCATACATACATCCATGCATGCATATATGCATTCGAACATACATGCGTACATGTGTACATACATGCATGCACACACCCACACACCTGTATATATACACATGCATACAGGCATGCATACACACATCTATATGTACACACCTAGACATATATATATGTGTGTGTAAATGCATGCATTCATGCCTACATGCATGCATACATACATACATACATGTACATCTATAAGTGCATGCCAGCCACTTGCCTGAGGCACGAGTTAGACTGTGAAGTCCCTTGTTGGATCTCCTGGAGCCTCAATCCTCAACCCTGAAGATTATGTCAGGGGCCTGGACCCCAAATTCAAAAATCTCTTGGGGCTTGCCGCGTGTTCTCGCGTGACTTTTTCGGCCCCAAGAAGGCCCCAAGAAGGGCCCAGAGGGCCCCGAGAGGCGGCCCAGACGATCCAAGGGGGCCCCGAATCGCCACACGATCGGTCCAAGACGCCCAAGATGGCCACAAGACGGCCCAAGATGCCCCGAAGACGCCCGAAGAGGCCTCCAAGAGGCCTCCCGAGAGGACCCCAAAAGGCAAAAAACAACGATTACGTTTGAAGGGGTTTGGCGTTCTCGGCTTTTCGGCTTCCAGACGCTCCAGGACGGCCCAAGAGGCGCCCAAAATCGCCCCAAGACGACCATCAGGCCCCCAAGGGGGCCGCAAAACGGCCCAACAGGCGCTCAGGACGCCCAAGGGGCCCCCAACACGGCTCCAAGAAAAAGCCCGGACGGGGGACCCGAACGAACATGTCGAACCCTCGGCCAAACAAGGCCCCCAGGAGGCCCCAAAAATTTAAAGCTGGTCGGGAGGCCCAACCAGATGCTTCGCCTAAGGCGAAGCATACGTCCAACCCTGTTGCATCGTATGAACGATAACGCCAGAAGTAGGAAGGAACCGCGTGAGCGGCGATGATACATCTCAAGACTACAGGGTGGAACATTCTCTTTTTCGATGCAATATAGCGGGCCGCGGCGCGGCCCGGTCACATACGTGGCCGGTCACTGGACGAAAACGCCCGCGGACAAACGGTCGATACCTCTCGCCTTTGCCATTCCTCCTTCAGAGACGGGGGGGCGAAGACAAAGCGTGAGTCCGCTACCAGCCTTACTCAGCTAAACAAATCTATTATACAAAAAAGGCAGCAGCCAGTGGGCTCAACCTAGGCAGGTTGCCCCGCAAATTACTAATCCTCAAAGCGGTTCAGATGGTCTCGTCTGGCCCACCCTGTCGGGAGCGTGTCGTTTCAAGTCGCCCTTGAAGGATTGCATTCCTTCAATAAACTGCAGGCGCATGTCTCTGTCGATGCTCCTCCCCTTGGTGTGACCATCCGCAGTCATATCGCGAGTGTCACACCACTGCACATAAAGCACGATACCGCGTTCCACCACTTGTCGTACCCAACTAATATGATCCAACAGTGTACATTCAGTCGGCTTCTTCAGGTCTTTGCTTGACAAGGACTTGAACACGGATTCTGCATCAATGGTCAAAGTGACCTTAATGCTCAGGCCGCCCATCTCAAGTAGATCCTTCAGTTGCGTGGGAGTCAGCGGCCCTGCGTGGAGTTCGTGTGGCGTGACAACCGTGGCATAGCAGTCCTCCGCCAAAGTATGGGTTGCTGCTAGTGTTTCAGCTGAGTGGATCT